CACACACACACACACATACACACTATTAACTTACAAAGAGACAGAGGAGTGTATGAGGAGTAATTAGTGCCTGTTTTTGATTTTCTGTGTGAGCTGTGAAAACAGTGTGCCAACTTTAGCAGGGTTGTAGATCCACTAAGTTAAAAAAGTCACATGAGGCATCTCCGAGTCCACCCACCCTTTAAACAGTGACCTCCCTGCAGTGAAAGGATATCTGGCCGGACTGTCTTTGAGCGCGCTCAGGAAACCCGTCCGGTTCGATCCTGCAGAGAGGAGAGAGTCTGTGTTCAGGTTAGTTCGTAATGTTTAGCATGTATTCCGTCCTCAGTCCCCTTTTATTTACTACATCCATGATACAAATCAATCATGTAGTAATCATGTGTAGACATAATATTGATTTCCATTGCTATGTGGACAATACGCAATCGTATGTTGCTGCTCTTTGCTGGTTTCCTGTTCTCGTTTTTCTCTTGAATGATCAGAAATTTAGCATTTCGCCTTTAACATCTTATTATGCAAAAATGCTAACGTTTAGTATAGCCAAACATTTAGCATGATAGATTATTTGTATGTTGCTGTCATCATATAATGATTAGCAGTCCTTGTTAGCATTCATGTGATTGTCTTCGGTACTCGGTCTGCAACCTCATACCTATGACCAAATCACAGCCGTGCTGATATTCAGTACAGCATCACTCCCTCTCGTGTGATCTTGCTTAAATAAGCAACAACAGACTTTTTTTTTCATCATTTATTTGGCTACACCAACACAAATAGTTCATCAACTGGACTGGTACTGGACTGTTGCTAAGCAACACATAAACATTTTCCTGACCTGCACAGTGCATTCTATCTTACTACTTTGTCCACACATTATGTCAGGTGTGTGCTGAAGTATCCAGGCTTCTCTGCTTCATCTTCCTCTGACGACCATACATAATTTAATTCAAATATTATGTCTGGAAATACATTCATCTTTCTGATGTAAAGTTTGTCAGAATCTAAAATAGTTACATTTGATCATATCGGCTATTGGCAATTTTACAGGGTGATGATAGGACGATCAGACTATGATTAATATCTTGCAACCCTAAACGTGATCCTCAGAGTTTTAAAGATACACTAATGAAAACCAGTCCACAGATCTCCAAATACTGTTCTGAATGTTGGGGAAGTGGCTTCAGAGAAAAGATCAGGATGTCTCCAACATCATTAGAGATTAACCTCTAAGGTCCGTGAATATACACAGTGAGTTTTAGGTTCCTTATCATGAACCATAGTTTTAGACTGGACTAACTGATACTGCCTTCCAGACCTCACTGCTGGAGAAAAACTCCCCACAACAAGCTTAAACACCACCAACAGCATGGGTTCCAGTAATGAGCTGAAGTCGTCAGTACACAGATTTACTGATCTCTAAATTTACATCTTGTAGATCAAAGTCACGACACTCTGCTGGATCTTTTTATAGCTCTGCTGCTAAAAACAGACAACAAGCAGCGTAGTGTTCAGAGGAAGACACGGGTTTATCTCAGACAGTCAGCCGGTTGTTAGAGTTTGAATGTGAAGCAGCCTGAAGCTACAGTTTCCTGACAGTTTGGACCTGCAGGGCAGGAAAACAACATCAGCCGCCTGAACACAGAGAATTAGGCCAGTGAGTGTGATGGGGAGGATCAGCAGGCGGTTTTAGATCCAGACACATAAAATAATGAAAAGTTTTAGCCCACCTTCCAGGCAGCCACTGGTTTAAGTTTCTATTAAAATCTCCCTGCACAGTTCACAGTCAACAACTGGTCAACTTTTTTTTTTTTCTGCAAGATTTCTTTATCGTTGAGTAGTGATGAAGACAAGTCTGAATCATAAAATGCACAAGATCGAGACAAGATGGAGTGAAAACATCCACGAGACAGAGACAAGATGGAGTCAAAACATCCCACAAGACCGAGAGAAGATGAAGTGAAAACATCCACGAGACTGAGACCAGATAGAGTCAAAAAATCCACAAAACAGGCACAAGTCCGAGTTAAAATACCAATGCAATGAAACAAGTTAAAACAAACACAAGACCTTGGTAGGTCAAAGTCAAAACACCCATGGGACTGAGACAAGTCAAAACCTACAAGAGGAGACAAGTTAAAATATGAGACCTTGGTCAATCTAAGTTAAGACGTCTATGAGACTGAGTCAACTTCCAGTAAAAATACCCATGAGACCAGAGACATGACCCAGTTAAAACACCAATGAGATGAAAGTCAAAACAAACACAAGACCTAGGTAATTCAAAACACCCATTAGACTGAGACAAGCAAAAGCAACACACATAAAATGATGTTTAGACTATCATATATCATGTAAACACACAGTCCGGTCTCCTGATCTCTAGCAGTAATCAGGTTTTTGTATGTAAACAGTCTGATCCAGCAGGGTCCGCATGAAGTGCAGCTGCGGTCTGATCGATCGGCTTCAGTAAACAGACTGCAGTATCAGCCTCTCTCTGACAGCCTGTCAATCACGGGACATTCGATGGCCGAGCTTCGATTCATCCATTACACTGATGAAAAGCCGCTGCAGCTACAACAAACTGAGGCTCCGACGCAAGAGACACAGCCGGGCCTCATACACAACAACCTCTGTGACCTATAATATGCAAAACAACAATGAAAATAACAGGGTGAGCTTTTCAAAATAAAGCCAACCACAGGTTTACTAAGAAATCTGTCAGTTTTTAGACTGATTAGTCGTTAGTGTTAACTTGTGATATCAGGAACTCGAATGTCAGAGTGAAAATCAGCCAACAGGGATGTAATTATTATGTCTAGTCATTAAATGTTTATGTACTGTTTATAAATGATAAATGGGGACTTAGTGTTGCCTCTCAATGATTAATCAGTTAGTGAAAAAATAAACAGAGTATCTGATTCATGGCTGCAGATCTAAAATGTCATCCTTGCTGTCTGCATTGTGTTGTGTATTAACTCAGGTTATTAATCTTTGCACATTTGTTGAGCATTACACATAAGAACTGCCTGTAAAGGGTGGTTGCCATTTATATGAGCTACGTGTGACCCTGAGTGGACTTCAAATAACCTTCTGTTATGTTTGTTTCACTGATTTGGCTCCAACCGAAGCGCTTTTCATTTGTCACGTGTCATGTTTTTGCTTGTTATCTAAGTTTCTCAGTGAAATCATCATCATTTAAATCAGTGGTTCTCAAACTGTTTCACATTAAGGACCCCTAAACTGACTAAAGTTAGACCACGGACCCCCGTTTGAAAGATTTTGTCCCAGATTTTTGCTTGTAGATGTTTTATTACAAAAAGTGTTGGAAACCTAATAGTCATTATGTTACTTACTTACTCTACTGGATAGAATTATAGTAAAAATAAATGATTCTCCTTTTTTGCAACGCCTGATTACACCTGCGTTATGTTGCTTCCCTCGCCCCTAATTTCAAACATGAACTTAAAAAAAGTTGCTCTTGAAAGATTAGATAGTGTGTGTGTGTGTGTGTGTGTGTGTGTGTGTGTGTGTGTGTGTGTGTGTGTGTGTGTGTGTGTGAACAAAAGATCTGACTGGGTCACATTATTAAAAGAATCCGTGCAGCAGCTGAAGAGTCAGAGGTTGTTTTATAAAGAAATCAATAAGTGAATCACAGTAGAAACGGTGCAGAGGAGGCGGCGGCGGCAGCAGCAGCAGCAGCAGAGTTGTCGGCGTTACTCACTGAGGATGACGTGTGTGATGACGAAGGCGAAGATGAAGATAGTGAAGAAGGAGAGCGAGACGATGAACAGGTAGAAGAAGCGATAGTTCCTCCGTCCGACGCAGTTCCCCACCCAGGGGCAGTGGTGGTCGAAACGCTCTGAAGAGGAAAATGAAGAAAATAAAACTGAGGTCAAATTTCAAATCACTTCAAACTCGCAAAGGAAAAACTGTCACGTCGTCTCACAGTTTGTTTTACTACAAAGAATAAATGACTCTAGTTGTATTTCCATCTTCACGACAAAGAGCTCTGCCCTTCACTGTCTTATCTTTGATTGAAGTTAATTCCAGCGTCCTTCGAGAGAATACGATAATTACACATTGTCAACACGTCAGCAAATACAGTGGAGCCGTTTCTCAGCCCTGAGTAGTGTCTGCAGAGCGTTCAGCTGTAACAAACTCAAGCAATCTGTGTGTAGGCTGGAAACAAAACCCAGGGGATGCAGTGTATGAGTCTAAAGCCAGTGTTATACTTTCTGCATCGGCGAATAGGTGAGGGTTTTGTCATCAGAGGATGTACGTGCAGACGTACACGTACATCCTCTGTGTCCGACGTAACAATTTGCTAACAAATTACTACGCTACAGGGAACCAACTGTGCACGTTCAATACAAATGGACACTGAGTTTTAAGAGAGTTAAAAAAAAAAATACAAAGACAAACAATCGTGTCGCAATTCACAGAGGAAAAATAGTGCGCGCGCGCGCGGAAAACGTAGACAATGATCTACTGTGGATGTATGGAATGCGTCCTCCAAGCGGAGTATAAATGGAAACAATTTTGCACCCGTGTACACTCTGACACTGACCGACACAGTTGTCGCACAGGCTGCAGTGTGATGCGCGAGGCGGTCTAAAGATTTTGCAGGTGAAGCAGTATTTCAGTTTGACCGTCTGTCCGTTGATGAGAACCTCTCTGGTGCGAGGAGGAGGTCTGGAGCAGCCCGAAGAGTCTGGAAAACAAACACAAACACAAAACAACAACAGTTCAATTATTGAAAAAACAAACAAACAAACAAACTAGAATTACTGCTTGACAGTTGTCTGCATCCTCCACTCAGACTAGTTTCAGATTACATCCCTGTTTATCCAGAGTCATACACAATATTAACCATGGTCATTATTTCTGTGTGAAATCTTGAGTGATGGCTAAAAAGTGTTTTGTGAGGTCACCGTGATTTGAGCTTTGACATTTGACCACCAAAGTGTAATCAGTTCATCCTTGAGTGCTAGTGAATGTTTGGGCTAAATTTGAAGAAGTTCTGTCGAGGTGTTACTGAGATAAGGTGTCCATGAGAATGGGACAGATGGATGGTACAGTAAGGTACAGTATGGAACATACGTAGGTATGGACAACCGGAAACACAAAAACACAAGCTGATCTGACTGCTACGACTTACATTCCTGCACGGTATTGGTGATAATAACAATCATGTGATAATTCTCTGCAGGTTCATCACTACCACAGACTCCTTTCACTCTAAACATCAATCACACTACATTTTCCCTCCATTTTGGACTCTCCGTTCCATCAAAGGTCAACTGAGTCAAGATTCCATGCCAGTCAAATAATGTCTAAGTTCAACAAAGTTAAACTCAATACAAAAGATTCATGTGGGATTGCTTTGCACCTGAGAGCAAATCCTCTGACTGTGGAAATTCAATTAAAAGTCATGATTTTGCTTGTTTTAAATGACGATCTGACCAAGACTTCAGCTGTTTAGATGGTAGATGCTCCACTTCCTGCAACACAACCATGTTTTTTGTGTCTTTATGGCCTTCTTGCTTGTTGTTGTGGTTGTTTTTTTTCATCTCTTTGTCTCCTTGTGTCTCTTAGGTGGCATCCTGACCCTGGGCCAGAACCTCATATTACCTTCATACCTTCATATTTTCTTGTGTGTCCTTAGTATAGTTTGTCAGGACGTGAGGACGTGAGGATGTTGTGTGAAGGTGTGCGTCACTGAATTAATTCCTGACCACCATCAGGAACAGCCTCTCTGTCCTCCCTCCCCCTCTCACACTAACATCCAGCTTCTGTCCTGCTGAGACAAACCCAGACAGAGATCAGTGCCCATGTTTGGTCATCTGAGAGGCCCCGGCTCTGAGGTGATTGACAGCTGCACAGATTCTGTATCCGCCACAGAGATAAATAAATAAATGAATAAATAAATAAACAAAGAATAATGAGAGGTTTCCATAAATAGATAGAGAGCTTCGACGGTGACGGTTCAGTTTCTGTGGAAACTGACTGATTCGCCAAGACGCATTTCTGACAGAGAAACTGAAGAGATGACATGTGACTGCACACACTCACACACAAACATCTAAACACTCACACACACACACTGACTGGAGGAGGTGGTGAGCGGCTCCTGTAATGACTCATATATCATTAGTGAGTGGATTATTCTGCAGCTGATTTACAGTTTCGTCCTTCTGATAAGAACAAAACCTGAACGGACGTGGACACTGACAGCGAGGAGACGTCACGGGTGATTAGAGGTGACGCTAACGACAAAAGAATGGCCTAAAGGTCTGGATGCTAAAATCAGAAGTATGTCATGAAAACAGATGAAAAGTCTGCTCAAAGTAAAGAAACTGCTCTGGGATTTCTCTTTCTTTTATGGCCAAGCTGCAGATGATGGTCGCTCTCAACACCCTGAGAACCTCCTCGACCAAATTCAGCTGCTGCTCGGTCACTTTACTCCAGATATCAAGACTATAGTGAAGAACTTTGGTTTTATTTTTGACAAGCTATGGAAAAAAAACATGAAAAAATGGGATCTGATATTTTCTTTTCGCAAAACAGCTTTTACATTGTCACACCGGACGCCTGTACTACGAAGCAAGTTCAACATACCCAGGATAACTTTTAGTTATCTGGGTTAACTGAGCCTAACATTACTACAACAGCACTATGAAGCAGGTCATCAATTGGCTCAGTTAACCCTGGGTTTACCTGTCCAGGTACAAGCAGGTTCATGTGAAAGAGGCGGAGCTGTTAATTATAAGCAACATCGTCAGAAGAAACGCTGACACCTGCAGGTAAGTTCGGTAATAACCAGGTCCAAAAATGACATTCAACAAGGTGAAAGGTAAACAGTATGATCACATGATGGTCACAGAGTCTCCTCATGTTGTTCTGAGCTGCAGTGATGAAGAGGAGAGTAAAAGCTTCATCACTGTCAGGAATCCTGTCGGATTAAAGAGCCTGTGTTTGGTTCAAATGAAGCTAGAATAGTATAGAGTATAGAGTGGACACATGCTGGTCTGGAACAGCAAAATGATTTATATAAAGGTCTACTGCTTGTTATTATTGATCACTTTATTGTAAACTCCTTTGTCAATCAGGTATCTGATTGGTCAGTAGTTTAGGTTTTGATCTGATCCTCTAAATTAACCTGCTCTGGGGCAGGTTAGGAGTTCAGCATAAGTTACCATGGTGATTTACCCCGGTAACAAGTGAACCACCGTCGTAGGACTGAAAACCCAGGGTTAAACCTGAAGTTACCTCAATAACCTCAGATCCTGCTTCGTAGTACAGGCCTCGGGATTATTGTAACCAGGGGCGGTCTGGGAATAAAAACAGGCCCAGGACTATTTGACTGGAACTAATCCACAACGTCACATCCAGCCTGTGTCCAGGAAACACCACACCCAGATCGCATATGTTTGTGTCTGTGTTTCCATTGGTTACCGATCTGCCTCTCCAGGTCGGCGGCCTCATCCGGCGTGGCTCGGGGCAGGACTCCGGGGTCGCTGAAACTCGCCCTGAACAGCATCCCCATGACGAAGAAGAAGAGGACGCCGCCGACCACCGGGATGGCCGGGGTCAGGTTTGACGCCAGGAAGGGACAGCTGCAGAAACAAAGGAGGTGGGACAATCAAAACAAACTGAGGGCTCTCGGCCAATCACAGGAGATCTCTGGTGTTTTCAGGACTTGTTGTTCCAACCCGACCTGACTCTTTGCTCGGAGGATCTTGTATGTGTGTTTTACCGTTTGATTTCAAGTGTGTTTCAGGTTTGATTGTGATTATGGATTCTTCTATCACTAATCCTTTCACAGTGACTCTGAAAATAAATATACACTGTTACGTGAATAAATCCAAACATGAAATCCTTCAGTTCTGGCTCAGATGTGTATCAGCGGTGGTCTGCAGGGACCGGGTCTGAAGCACAGGATCAAGTTAATGAAGAGGAACAGAGAGTCGCTCTGAGCTGACACTCAGGCAGGTAAATTTAGCTTTGATGATGCCTTTGTGGCTGAAACTGACGAGCTTTTACCTGATGACAGTGAACACAGCTCCTCTCATCACTATATGTTTGTGTGTCTGTGTTTTTGTTGTCAGTGAAATCCACTGAAACAAATCACAGCGATTGAACGTTGAAGAGAAACCAGCAGAAAACAGCCTGAGGTTTGGAGGAGCCGGAGCTGAAGCCTCCACTGACGACACAGATCATTTACTCTGGTATTTTTACATGTCATGGGGATTTAGGGGAATTAAGGACCTGGATTACAAACATATCACTCTCATTGAGTTTTGGTATTTGTATTAAATGTGACTTTGGGAGAAAAAGTGAATAAAAATAAAAAGATTTAAGGGATTATTATTCTCAACCAGACTGACAGAACACACAACATCTATGTGTTTCTTTTGACATTGGTGCATTAAATGGCTTTAAGAGGCCTGAAGAGGTAAAAGAGTGCAGTTATTCCCAAAACGAAAGATTGACAAAATCCTAGGAAAGTCACAAAATAATAAAAATTTACACTGTCAATGATCCGGTGAGTGAGTAAATAAAAAAAGAGGAAAATGAAACTGTTCAGTTTATGTTCAGGTGAGAAGATACCTTTTGACTACAAGAGGATCAGCAAAGAAACAAAAATCAGATTAGTGACAGGAATCTGAGATAAAAGGAGATTTGAGGGCTGTACATCAAAGCTCTCATTTCTTGTTTCTTGTAGATTTCACCTGAGTCATTGTCTGATTGAAGGCTGCTCCTCTGGAGTCTTCCAACCCCACATTTCACTGCACATGTTGAAAATTTGTTCGTGAAAAATAAATCTGTGAATCCAGAGTCATTGACAACAAAGTCGACAACATTTGATTGAAAGTCGTGACAAAATCATTCTACCTCTGACCCCAACAAATACAGAAAACACTGTAGACATTGTTGTGCTGCCCATGTGTTTATATAGCATATAAGTTAAAAAAGTTAAAGGTCAAATAATTTGAACTATTTGAGGTTTGTTATTGGTAGTTGGTTTTTTAGGGACAGATTGCTGAATGGGCCCAAGATCCAAGACCTCCAGATCAGAACCTCTGTCTGAAGTGACTGTCAATATGTCTGAAAGTCAATCAAATGACCACAAAGACATAACAGAAACATGCAAAAGACAAAGAGACAAAAAGACGACAAAGAGACAAAACCATGAGAAAAAGATGCAAAACGACAGAAGATGCTAAATGACAACAAAGAGATGCAAAACAGTGACACTCAGAGACAAAATGACAACAGAGAGACGCAAAACAACCACAAAGAGACAAAATTATCACATTGCATTGTTGTTGTTTTGTGTCTCTCTCAGTCTGGGGGTCTTGCTCCTGTGTTGGAGGGCTGGGGGGCATTTACATGTCTGTATCCAGGGGACCATTGCAGGATGTTTGTAGTTACAAACAGCAGCTATTATTGATGTTGTTTATATTTATATTAGAATATTCACAGTGAATAAACAGATTCACTATTAATACTGTTCAGTTAATTCTTCCTTTAGACTGTGCTTTAACACAGTCAGTTCTCAACTCATTTGTTTTTGTTTGACCTCACAAACACCAGCGGGGATCAGAGGTCAGGACCTTTAAAGGTTTTTTTTTTCAAACTGGATTTAAATTTCAGATTATAATCCCCAAAGACAAAACGTGGCTGTGTTTACTCACTCGAAGGTGAAGAAGAGGCCGCTGGTGAGCAGGATGAGGACCAGGGTCAGGTAGAAAACCCCGGTCTGTCTCGCCATCATGATCCTCCCGTTGCAGTAGAACCGGTTCCTCCCCGGGAACACCTGCCACTTCCTACGGGGGATCCGGTTCCTCTGGCCCGGGCAGGAGGACGGCTCTGTTCCCTCGGTTGCGGCGGCCGGGGTCGAGCTGCTGCTGCTGCGGGTGCAGATCTGGTTGTACTGGCCCGGCTGCTGCTGGTGCTGCTGCTGGTCCAGAGCCGCATGGTGGATCTGAGACATGTGTCCACACAGGTGAGCGGACAGGTAAATACAGACAGAAAAATTCAAATACAATCAGAGCTGTGCGCGTGCTGCTGGTGCGTTCAGGCTCTCCAAATGCTCAGTCAGCCTCCAACGTGAATCCTCAGGTCTGGTTTTCTTCTCAGGAGCCACAATAAAAGGAAACCCTGCATTTTAATCCAAAAATCGTCGGCTTTTATTTTGTAATATTTCGTAAACAAACATCAACTCGTGGTCTCACGCAAGCTCACGGGGTCCAAAATCCAAAAAGAAAAAAAACAACAAAAAAAAAAAACAAAAACAAACAAACACCACAACACCCCCGCCTCGTGCCCATGCAGCGTCCCCCCTCACATAATCCAGCCTTTATTATCCAAGGACAGCAACGGATCCGATTGTGGATGGGACACGCACCGGGTGTGAGCCGGGTCCGGATCGTTAGACAGCAGCGGCACTGACGTTCAGATGGTCTGTGTCAGTGAGGAGGAGGAGGAGGAGGAGGAGGAGGAGGAAGAGGAGGAGGAGGAGGAGAACGTGAAGAGCATCCTGATCCTCCGCAGAGCTGCTGGAGCTCCGACTCCAGGGCTGCACAGATCCTAAACTGACGAAGATGAACCACTCTGCAGAGAAAAAAAAGATCAGGCTTCTAACTGCTTAAGAGTTCCTAGAGAAACTCAGTTTATAGTGAACTAACAAATAACTGGCAGATCGGTCTGTATTTTGGGATTTGAGCTCACATTCTACAAAATGTAGAAAATTTATAAACAAGCCAAACGGTTCAGACAATAAATAAAAGTGAAGTACATAAACACATTTTTTTTTTTTTTTTTTTTTACAGATTTTTAAAAATATTTTTATTTTTTATATTATTATCAATTGGAGCATTACATTTTAATGTTTGAAATTTCATAAACAAGACATCCGTTTTAGTTGTTTTTTGAGCAAAAGGGTAAAAAAAGGTGTTGGTTCCAGCTTCAAAATTGTGAGAATTTGATGCTTTTCATCACCATATGACACTAACTAAATCTTTGTTAAATGAATAAAACACATGATAAATCGAATAGTTTTATGAAGCGGAATGAGACCTCTTCATTGCTTCCCCCACAGAACCACACTTCAGGGACAATAAACGATCTTTGCTTCAGAATTCCGTGTCCGTGACTCTTTTTTAAACACATTCTCGACTTAAAACTGTAAAATCAAACCAATTCACTATTTTTTTTATACAAAACAATTACATTCATTTTTGTAAATCAGCATTTTCTACGCACATGAATCACATTTTGATGAGACCGCGGCATTCTTATGTTCCTAGCGGCGCTTGTTTCTATCCGGTAATTTAATGCAGATGGACCGAGGCAACATGACAGCAGCTGATGGGAACACAGCAGTGAATATGAGAGAAGAAACTCAAAGTGATGAAGAGGCCAAACTACAGATGTTACAAGGCAAGACAGCTGTTAGCCGGTTCGCTTGTAGTTCGTATTAGCCGTAGCTGTTGGCGAGGTTCTGCTAGCATCTTTTTCTAGCATCTACGATCTGAGGTCATAGCAATGTCGACCTGCGTGCTGCCTCTGCCACACCAAACCCCAGTTAAAAATCAGACATTTCAATGTTTGTTTAGTAGGTGAGAATCCCGAACACCCTGTAAATATGAGTTGTTATTGCTACTGAATTTGAAGCGCAGTCCGGCACAGATAAGTTGTTTTTTAAGACCGTGACGCCAGACTCTGTTCAAAATGTCTACAATTTTAAGCTTTTGTGTTTACCAAGAATTCAAAATAAGTCATACATTGTGACTGAAGATTGATCCTTAAAAATATGTTCTTCTGTTATGTTCGGCTAAGTATAATCCATCAATTTATTTGTTTTGTTCTCCACTTACCTAAATCTTCTTTACATATACATTGGATACCTTGTGAGCAATGGGTAGGGGGTTGAAGCAAAGCAAAAGGCTAAACATGTGGCTAAAGTATGTTGTACTTAGTAAAATAACCTTTTCTCATTTTACTGTCTTTGTTTAAGACCAATCAAAGTAGTAATGTAGTCTGGCAGTGAAACACAGACTATACATGCTGGTTTTCCTTTCAAAACCACATTCATAAAAAGGGTATTTTATTTGAGCTTGTTCAGCGTAAGAGATTTCTGAAGTTTCCAGAAAAGAAACTCAGTTGATAAAAGTTTTCATAGATTTATTGAAACTAAAAGTGTCATTCAGATTCTTGTCTCACAGGCTCTCACTTGACTTTGTGTGTGCAGGTGCAGCGTTTCTGACCACGGTGGCATCTGCCGGCATGATCGCAGGATTTGGCTCCACGTTAGCACTGGCTAAGAAAAAAAGCCCAGACTGGTTTACTAAGGTACAGTTTATTATTAGTATAGTTCTTCTGTAAGAGTTAAGTTTTTGCTCAATGGGGATCAAAGATTATTAACATACTTCCAACAGTTTATCAGTAAGAAGTAATAAAAGAATCCTTATCAAATTGATCTCCATTACTTGTGAAATTGATAAAATTGTTTTTTTTTTTCGTCATCAATGAACATGCTAATTATTTTCTCAATTAATAGATTAATTTCAACTATTTTGATAGTCATTTTAGTCATTTTATGGTTCCTACTTCTTAAATGTGAGGATTTGCTTTTTTTCTTTGTCACACGTGACATTAAACTTATGTGTTAATGTTCTATATCATTGATTGAACAAAAGAAAGACATCAAACACTGGGCAGTGGGAAATAATACAGAGAATATTTCATCAACAAAACAAATGATTAATCAAGAAAAAAAACATTAGTAGTAGACTGCATCACATGTTCATAATAGTTTGTTCATCATCAGAAGGAAGGGCAACAAATCTAAGATGTAAATAATATTTATTGCTTTCCTTTAATATTTCCAGTGTTTCTGCAGCTTCTTATTCTATTTTAGTTATGGGATCTTTACATTTTGCCATGTTAAATATCACTTTTAACCAAGTTTTCCTGCAGGTATATGATCATGATCATATGGAGCACTAAAATCTGATGATGCTTCTTGTCATCCTTGTAACATGAACACACTCGCAGCTGAGTCATTAAACTCAGAGTGAACAGAGGCGGTTAATAACCAGCTTCATGATACAGGTTGACCAGTGTTTGTCTCAGTGCAGCAGGAAACCCGGAGAGAGCTAAAGCCACCGATGTCAACAACAGGTTGTTGACATCTACAGTACGACAGGGCGATTAAGAACGATGCCATGTCAGACTGTGAACAGACTTCCTTCACTGAGCTAATGCTGTTATTGACACTGCCGCGTGATTTAGTTTTTCTTGTTTTTTCTAAATCTATAATGTGGTTAGTTTCCTCTGGTGCTGGAGTGTAAATTCTCTGACTGATTGAATGAGTGGAAGCGAAATAAAAGAAACACTGGAAACAACGGCCGTCCTGAAAATGTTTGGACACATTCCTCCAAAGGTTGTTCTGAAAATAGCCGTCAGTATGTCACAACTAGACCTGAGAGCGAACGCCTGACCTCGTCCTGTTAACTGGAACTGTTCAGTTATTGGCCGCTCACAGGATCTGATTAAACATGACGCACACGGACGGCAGCGACCAATTTGTATCAGAGATAAACTTAGTGTGGAGGCACAATGGAGCTCTTGTTCCCAGACTCTATTTCCGTCACAGACTCGTCTTTGTTGTCTACGTCGAGGCCTCAGCCCCAGAGGACTGAGCTAAAATTGACAAAGTGTGAAATTAGATTAATCATGGAGCGGCATGTGGAGATGTTTTTACTGTTTTATTTTGTTTCATGTCAAACTGCTGCTTTTACCCACACTTTGGGCAATTTAACTTTCTAAGAAATGAAAATGTGTACACTATAAGGCTAAGGCCAAAAGTATGTGGACGCAGCTGCTCACAAAATTAGAGGGGGCATCTTTTGAATTTAAGTGAAATTATAAAATACTTTACTTTCACTGTAATATGTATATATTTTACATCATTGTATTGTGTCCAAAATGGTAGAAAATATTTTTGTACACTTATACTGTGTCTCAATTTGCATACTTCCATATTCACACTTGCTATTTTCAGAGCATAAGTTTGTTCACATTGACAAGTATGACAACATGCAGTGCGCCATGAGTACTTGAATGGTGAACTAAAAACAGTCAAGAATTAGGCATGTAACGCTGGACACATCTCACCTTCAACCTCGCCATCTTGGTTTGGTAGCAGAAGGGGAAGAACCAACGAATTTGAAAAAGGCGACAGGACGGCTGATGGCAGCCTAATTACCATGTTGTGTTGTAACGAGTGACAGGTGGATGAGCGTAGTGAAACTTGTAGAATTAAGTTGAAACATTTAGAGGAAAAGAAGGTGTAAAAAGGTGGAATTAAAAAAAAAAAAAAAGTATATTAAAATGAATATTAAGTTAGTATTTTGGTTTTATTTGGACGATTGAATTTGTGTTTTTGTTCATTTGTTTCTTTTTTTTCCTTTTTTTTTTTTAACAGAAAAGCTGTAAGAATTGTAAAATCAAGTTATCAATCAAATCTTGAGCATACATTGAAATATTTTGAAGTTAAGTTTGAAATAGCGAGAAAAATAAGTAGTAAAACTTCCAGAATTAAGTTTACAACATTTACAGGATAAAAATTTTAAAAATTTGAACAGGGTTGAAAATATTTTGAGAATACAGTTTAAATATTTGAAGAAAAGTCGTAAATTTGTGAAATTAAATTGAAACATTTTGTGAATAAACTTCAAAAAGTGAAAGTGTTTCAACAAAAAGTCATAAAATTTCAATAACACACATGAAATTTCTCATGAGCAAGGTTGAAATGTGGGAGGAAACCGCCCCGGTCACGTCAGGATTCAAACCCAGAACCTTCTTGCTGTTAGACGTCAGTGCTAACCGCCTACCGTGCCCCACTGTCCTGCACTATTTTTTTTTTTTCCTGTGTTTTCTTTTCTCTGCAGCTTTTTTCTTCACCAGCTCATCAAACCTGGAAAAACCTGTCCAGGCTAAAAATAAAATACAATGAGGTCAAACAGTAAAATAATGAAGCTGAATTCTAGTGTTGGGGTTAACCAACATCTCAGAGGTCAGAGGTCACAGACAGAGCTGGTATTCATGTTCATCAAGTTAATGTTTCGCACCAATTAACGTCATGAGCACTCAGTTTTAAATCATCCCATTTAGCCCTTTTAGCTGTTTCTGAGAACATCTCTGCAATTTAACTTTTGACTTCTGACGGAAAAGGTCGTCCATCAACCATCAACCAGTCAATGTGAATTATGTAAATGTCAAGACTTTGCTGAACTTTTTCTGCATTTGTGCTCCAACTTTTAACCTTATTATTACGAAGTTGCGTGTCACAGAAATGCGTGGAGACGCCATCTCGTAATTTTGATTTACCGTCTCATAATTTTGAGATAAAGTACAGACATGAAACACATACTTTTAGATTCAGTGTGACTTCCACCTCCTGAGGATATCATTATCTCTGAAGGTTCACTGCAAATTAATGTGTTTACAAATCATAGACAAAAGACGCTCTTTACAACTGCAGAACTTCCCTCTGTAGGTTTTCTTTAGTATCACAGTGATCCAGTGATAGTTGTGTGTACGTCTAATGGAACAGCGCAAAAATGAGCCAGCAATAGCTAATTCAATGCATTTTGTTTTCCAACATTTAAGCAAATATGGGCTAAAAATTGGGGCACCATTCCCCATGGTGACATTATACCGCTGTTACTTGTAAAGGTTTTTATCTGTTCACACAAATGAATACTTATAAATTTCGAACTTTTGCGAAACACCTCATGTTATATTTTCCTTGTTTCCTCCTCAGGGAGTTGTGTCGACAGCAGCAGTCCCAGAGAGCGGAGCGTCTCTGGCTCTCAGAGCTCTAGGGTGGGGGTCTCTGTTCGCCTGGTGTGGAGTCGGTGTGCTCAGTTTCACTGTGTGGAAAGTCCTCGGTGTTCACTCTGTACGTATCTGCAGAGCCTCCATCCACTGAACTAGAATGATATAGAATACAACATGCAGGTCTAGAAATAATACGTTTCGAGAAATTGAAAGTTGAATATTTTGAGTAAATGTTTTGATAAAAGTTATATTTGGAGAATAGAATTGAAATATTTCAAGATTAAAGGTGTAAAATTTAGTGAACAGAGTTATAGGTATAATACTAATGAATATTAGGGACACTGTTAGGAAAACATTTAAGAATAAAGTTGAAAAGAAAAAAAAAATCCAGTATAGTTGTAAGATTTCAGGGATAGAGTTGAAATATCTTGAGAAAAGTCCTACAGTTTAAAGAAAAAAGAAAATATATTGAAATGAAAAATTTTCAGAATAAGGTTTTGAGAAAAAAAAACCCCGAAACTTTAAGAACAACGTTGAAGAAAGTAAATTTGTAAGACTTTGATAATAAAGTTGTAAGAAGTGCTAAAATTGAAGTTTCAGTTGAAATATTTAAAGTAAAAAAGAAGAAGTGATACATTTCAAGGATGAAACTGAAATATTTAAAAAAAAAAAAACATTTTAAAGACGAAAAAGATTTTCTTTTCCTGTACAGAGAAAAAACAGAAACAGTTGGGTTAGGTCATTCAGGTAGTTTTGAGTAAATTTTGCCGTTGTACTTTAAAGCTTTTAAAAAGAGAATTCAAATTATTTTACATTAAAAATCACTGTATAAAGGGAACAAAGCATTGTTGTTATTGCACATTATTTAATGAATTAACATTTCATGGGGACAATTTATCCGGCGATACCCATCACTCTCTGCAGTTACTTGTCTTCCTTGTCTTTTTCAGTTATCAGAGTTCAGACAGAAGATGCAGTCCTTCTTCCCGTCCATCCCTAAGTCCGCTGAGGCCACAGCTGGATCTGAACCCCTGGACTGGGACTCTGTCTTCAAGTCAAAGTGACGCACCGCATCTGCTGGAGGATGAATCACGAGAGACAAGACTGTAAATATTGAGGACGCTCGGCAGCTGTTTGTGCTGCTTTCTCTGGAGTCTGGAGACTGTGCTGGACCGGTTTTAGTCCCGGTCCTGGGTTGTGAGCTCTAAGAGCTCTGGGTTTGGAGGTTTTTGGTCAGACGTCAGGGTCTACAAGCCAAGTGTGATTTTTTTTTTTTTTTTTTTTCAAAATCAGCTGCAGGTTTTGTGTCAATTAAATGAAAATTCCAGTTTCATTTAATAAAAAAAAAACAAAACAAAGAAAAAAAACCATATTATTGACTGTGGTAACTGAACCTGCAGTGATACCTGAGGATTAGGACCACCTTTGGAAAAATAATGATAACGAGATACTGAGAAACAATTTTAAAGGAAAAAGTTGTAAAATGTCATGAATAAAGTAAAGAAATGTTCTTCTTGGAATACTTAATAAACATGTTTACTCTGTGTCTGAATGTGATGTGACGTGGCTTTTAGTGATTAGTGGAGGAGGAGGAGGAGGAGGAGGAGGGGGTGATATATTTTCCTGCCGTTGTTTTTTAAAGCTGTGAAATTAACGTCACTGGAAATGTGTTACATTAAAAAAGCAGGATTAAAATGCCACGACATTGTGAGATTGCATCAAAACAAAACTTTCCAGACTGGTTCATACGAGGCCAGAGGTGTAGGCTGATGTTTGATCTGTGAGATCATTCTTGATCCTCTGTTGGAGGCGGAGATACACCAAAATAAAAAATAAAAAAAATTAACTCAGTTTTTCCTGTACATTTTATAACAGAAGTCGTGACTGAGTGGAGGGCGATGAAGTATTCAGATCCTTTAGTAATAATACTACTACCACACTGTAGATCATCAGATTATCACTGATGGATTAATAGAAAAGCAATTGACAAATTGCTTCAGCTCTGCTTGTATTTACTCTTGAGCTGTTTAATTCTTCTAATATTTAATATGCAAATAGTAAAGTTGAAGTTCAAAAAGCATTCTGGAGCTTTTGATCATATCACATGATCTTCCTCAGCAGATTAGAGTTTGCTCAATTCTCTTGTAGATGTATATTTATTTTTCTGAGCAGACATTTTGACACCAGAAATTAATACAAGTTTGAATATCTACATTTGCATGACAACTGGGCGAAGTCTGTGCTGATGAAGAACATTTAATTCATGTTTCTCAATATTAAAGATTTTTCATTTTTCATTTGTCACACGGTTTTGTTGTGTAATGAACATTTCATCTTCAGATATAACACTAAAACTGACTTTTTGAATTAGTGGCAGTCAGTTATTGAATGTTGACAGTTCAACTATTAAACCATTATCACTTTAAATTTCTGTGCTATAATAAAACTTCACTTTTATCCCCAAATTTATTTAAATCCTGGAAACCACCTGGTTTATTTTGGAGGATGGTTTCAAAGCTGCAAAGTAAAAACCTGCCACAGTTTGACTCACTGTGATGGTTACAGAAATAGTCCGGTTTAAAAATATTTCAGTCTGCGTCAGCGTGATGTGAAGTTATCTCTGCCACTCCTGAGTTCAGTCTTCAGACGGGAAATAAAGTCTGAGACGACAACGTTTCCCGGACTGTAACACACTGCTGTCCTAAATCCAGAATACAAACTGACTGTAACCCAGTAAAGTATGTTGATATTTTGTATAACTGCTACAACAGGATGTTATAGGATTAGTAAGTAATATGGACACAATTTAAGACTCTAATTCTCATCTAAGTAAAAATACGTTGGTTGTTTTTATGTCTAATCTGTCTTAAGCTGAGACATTTTGAACAAATAAACCCATGTTGTGATTCTTCTACATTTTCATTTAGCTCATGCTCTTTCACGTGCTTTTATTTAGGTGGTTTTTCATCGTCTCTTTCAATAATGTGTCAGAAAGGACCGAAGATCGGCAGCTAAAAAGCACCATGACAGTGAGCTATGTTGCTGAAAAGGCATTGTGTTTGTTAACAGACCAGGCAGGTTGACGTTGTTGAGCTGGAGAGGAAATGATCAGAGACAAAGCTTTTTGTTTTTCGGGTAACACTTTAAAACACTTTATGAATCATAATAAACAATTATAAACAAGTTATAACAGTTTTCATACATTGATCCAGGCTCACTATTTGGCAAGATCAAGTTAATGCTTACTAATTAATCTTACTAATGAGTTACTACCATTTATAACAAAAACGAGGCTTATTGTAAAGTGTGAAACATCATTTATTAATGAGTTTCTAAAAGACTCCCTTTTTACCAGCTAGTAACTACTAATACTAGGAACTTATTAATAAACAATGTGTATTACACTTTACAATAAGAAAACTGTTGCAACTTGTTTATATATGTTTATGATTTATAAAGTGTAAACAACCAAATTAATAACCTAGATATAAACCATTTATAAATCCTTTATAAGGGTAGTCTGATTGTAAAGTGGAACCAAAGGATATGATCCAACATTAACGTGAGCAGAGGTCTCCAACGAGTCCTGAGTCAATTGGGAATCAAGACCAACAAGTCCATAGTGAAGCCTACAGGCAAGATCACCAAGTATCAAGGCAAAACCTTCAAGACCCAAGCGAGGACTAACACATTTAAATTTAATTAAAAGTAAAGTCCCAAGTCAGGACCTACAAGTTTATTAATTAATTTGATCATTGATCATTTTTGTAAATGTAATTGTGTGACTCCATAGCTGTGAACATTCAGGCCCAGTCTGACAAGGTAGAGCTGATGGCCACCATACAGAGGACTAACCCCTTGATTTGGGATCTTCAGCTGTGGTCCACCCTCAGGATGACATGTTCATGCTTTCACTGACTGGGACAAAAACATAAGAACAAAAGCAACTGTTTTGCTCCCTCTGTTCTGTCAGACCTTTAATTTAACTTAAATCAAAAGTGTAAATGACCCGTCTGTCTCTCAGCTCGTCAGTTGTTCTCACAAAACCAGTCCAGAGCTACGTTCACAGTGCTCAACCAGAGTTCATGTACGTTTATTCTTTAACATGTTGTGGAACATATAAAGATCTCATACTGAAGAAACAACGTCTGTCAAATCAAACAGGAGATGTTCTGGATGTAGAGACTCTTTTTTTTTTTTTATCTCTTTATATTTGTTATAACGGTTTTTGAAGTCATGTCAGTTAGCAACATGGTGAGTAAAGGCCCCCCCCCCCCAACCTTCTGTACACACAGTCTCTCAAATCAAAACGCACCCCCCCCCCCCCCCCCCCCTCCCCGGACCAGACTGCATAAAACATCTTGAAAACAAAGGTTTCTCCTTAAATACAGAAAAAAAAACATCTTCACCTGCTGGGAAGAGAGAAACAAAAATCTTCAGGTGAGCAGAGTTGTGATTATAAATGACGAACATTAATTCGTTACCAGCGACCGTCACCGAGTCATGACGCCACCTGTTGGAGCTCAAATGTACATCGTCTATTTACAGGAGGATGATGACGGTGGAGAGAAATTTAGATTTGATTGTGGAAGAGACAGAAAAAGTTCTTAAAAACAGAAAGTGACGCCCCCCCCACCCCCTCCCAAACCTCCCTCGCTTGATACTGCTGTGGTTTGGCAAAATACTGATGGTCAAACTGCAGATGGTCAAATAATTCACATTTAAAATATCGCCCAAAACAAACCTATTGCACCAGAACAAAGTACACGACTGAACATCAGTTTTCCTCTGTCATACCATATGAGAAAAGAGAGGCCTATCTACAACATGTGTCACTATTTAAATAAATCTGACCCTGCCCCAAATATAACTAACCCCACCCCCCCAAAACAGCCCCGCAAACAGAAAGAAACGACCACGTCAGTTTAAAACACAAAGAGAGCCAGAACCCGAGCGTTCTCCACTGTCACACTTTGGTTAAAAGAAAACAAAACAACAAACTGACAAAAGAATAAAAAATTAAAAATACAAGTATTAAATATTTTTGTATTAAAATTACTTAAAAATCCCAAATAAACATTTGCGGATGGAGCCGACGAGTTATATATATTCTATATATATTCATTTGTATGTAAAAACTTTGTGTTCTGTTCTTTAAATAAAAATATAATAGGAGCCAGTTCGTCACATGGGTGGAGCTGCTTCCAGCGCCATTGAGCACGCTCCATGGCGGTGTTCGTGTCACGAGCGGCCAATTTTAAACAGTACTTCACACATGATGGCCGCCACAGAGGAGTTGAGGGCGGCCGACAGCGAGATGTCCAGCAGCCTACTCTCGTACAGAACAAACTCCGTCCGGTTCTCTTCCACCCTCGCCATGGCCAGAAGCGCCCTGGCAGCGCGGCACATCATGTTGATGCTGGGCGGCTCTGGTGGCGTGGCGGCGTGCAGCAGGCTGTGTGGATTCTGCTGGTACTGAGCCATGGCCACGCTGTCCTCCAGGAAGCTGATCAGAGTTCCCACGCTGCCCTTCTGCAGGGTGACGGCCCTCGCAGCTATGGAGTCGCCCTGCACAAGGTGGGACAGGACGGCCACTGCCATCTCCCGACACACCTGGCTCTTCCTCTCACCTACGAGGCGCACTAACGTGGCGAAGAGCTTCTGTTGGCGGCTGAAAGGCGGCGTGGCGAGCAGCAGGTCCACGTTGCTGTCCTGGATGCTCAGCTTGCACAGACACTCCAGCACCAGTCTCTGAGGGGTGAGCGAGGAGAAGCCGCCCGCTGAGGAGAAGGGGTCCTGGGCCTCGGCGGATGGACACACCATCCAGTGCAGCAGCCCGTCCAGGATGGGCAGGCAGATGCTCTCAGGGTACAGAGACAGGTCCAGCTGGCCCGAGACGTTAGCCAGCGTCACCAGCGTGTTCTCCCTGAGCGCCGCCAGGCAGTCCCACCACCACTCGTCTCGGCTGCAGGCCAGACCCTGCTCCTCCTCCCGCTGGTAGGTGGGCGGTGTCCGTTTCCTGCGGGGGTGGTGGTGGTGCAGCAGCACCAGCCGGCCCAGGATCAGCACCAGGCCGGGGTGCCGCGACAACACGGCGTCGTTGCCGGGGACGAAGGAGAGGCTGCGCACGATGTTGGAGATGCAGACGCAGCGTTTGGCCAGAGAGTCCTGCCAGGACTCGGCCGTGGACAGCGGAGCCTCGTCCCAGCAGCGAGGCTCGTCCTCTAGCTGGCTGATGGGACTCTGAGCCGTCTCGCCATGAGCCGGTGACCTCTGACTTCTGACCTCAGACATGGAGCCTGGCAGCAGAACACAAGGAAGGGAGAGTTTATAACCAGAGAAAACTGACTGACTGATCTGAAAATAAACAAATCAAGAATTGAAACTTGTGTCCAGAGACAGTTTGAACCCAGGGTGCTGCCTGATGAACAGGTCTGAGCCTGTTCAGGATAAAATCCCAGAAGAGAGAAGGAACCACCTGGTGGTGCAACAACAGTACCACAACAAACCCACAGTAGATTAACAGTTAGAGTCCGTTTTTATGTTTTTAATCAATCAATCAAATTCGAATAATTTTCAAATTATTAACAGTAAACATCGATAATAAGTTATTGATTGATCCTTAACATCTGCAGTATGAAGCCAAAAATACTTTATACATATAATATCAAATTTTACTGTGAGAATAAACTAATTTGCATTTTTTTAATTTGTATTGCCCTGAAACAGCTCACATACATTCAAAGCAGAATTATTGTAAATATCACATGTATCATAAGAATCAAAGCACAAATAAACATTATATTAACGTTATATGTGTCCAACGTGACTTAAAATAAGAGCATCAATCAAAACAAAAGCTGGAACAAACAAAAAACTAAAAGTAGTTTTAGCACAAATTTTAATAAATGGTAAATGTTACAGGCTGAATCCGGCATTTAGTAAGATCCATTTTTAATATTCATGTCAACATGATAAACAAGAAGTAAAGAAACCTGTTCTCTAATATATTATCTGTCCTATTTGTGTTTCTAGTCCTGAGCCACACTGTAAGGGGCCGGGGAAGTTTTAAGGTGTGATTCGACTTCGGGAACAGTGGCTTCATAAAATAACAATTTGGCGTTTTTCCAGAGCTTTCAACTGCAACTTGAATGACTGCGAATGAAGGCCTGATGATGATGTGAGTGAAAGCAGGTTTGTAAATTTAATGACTTTAATAATGATTTTTATCCATTTTGTTTAATTCTTATCTCATTTGTTTGATTCTCAAAAAACTTTCTATGATAATAATCATTTCTTTTCCTCCTCCCCCTCCCCCTCCTCCTCCTCCTCCTCGTCTGTACCTTGTTGTGTTTCAGGTGGTGTTTCCTCCGCAGCTGGCAGGTTCCTCTCCGCTTCCTCCTTACCCTCACCTCCTCCCTCCCTCTCCTCGTCTCCTCCCCTGCTCTCCTCCTTCTGCGCCAGGTTCGGGGGGGCGGAGTCTCCCGTGCAGGGTTCAAAGTGTGTCTGGATGTGAGCGGTGGAGTCTCCTCCCCCGGCCTTCCAGTGCAGGAGGCCGCTGATGAAGCCGTTGGGTCGGCTGAGCTTGGCCCAGCGCTCCTCCACCTCCTCCCACTCCTCCCCCCTCTCCTCCACTCTGATTGGCAGCTTGTCATACTTGCTGGCCTGTTGGGGGCGGGGCTCTGCTGCCTGCTCCTGCTGCTCATCCTTCACCTCCACCTCCTCTTTGACAACCGGTTCGCTGTTCTTTGCCTCCTCAGCATTGATGGCAGGAGCAGTCAAGAGCAGCGGTGACGTCTCCTCTATCTCCTCCGCTGACCTCCTCTGTATCTTCTGCTCCTCAGCTGACTGGCCATAAGACTCGGAGGCGGCAGCCAGCGGCTCCTTTAGCACCTCCGTCTCCTCCTTAGAGGGGTTGGGCAGGGGCCCCAGCACTGTCCTCTGGCCCTCGGTTCCCACCTCGTAGTCCTCCAGGATCCCAAAAATCTGGATGAGGCAGCGGCGGTAAAACTCCACAATGAGCTCCAGGAAACCAGGCAGCTGCAGGAGGACGGGGAGGAACAGGAAGAAGAGAGGACAGGATAAGGAGAAACTGTCTTGACTTTGTCTTCTGTGACTAATGTGAGAGAATGAGTCCAGCTGATGTGTAACAGGACTGTGTGTGTGTGTGTGTGTGTGTGTGTGTCTGACCTGTGTGAGGCTGAAGGAGCCCACAGTGCTGTCATCATACAGCAGGATGTTGATGGTGTCCAGAGCCCAGGTGCTCTCTGCTAACAGGCCGGACTTCAGTGACATCATCACTCGCCACGCCTCCGGGGTTCCTGATAGGACGAATTCAATCATAGAGCTCCCGTTTAAAAACAATACACACACAATCAAACTGTAGCTGTGTGTGTGTGTGTGTGTGTGTGTGTGTGTGTGTGTGTGTGTGTGTGTGTGTGTGTGTGTGTGTGTGTGTGTGTGTCTGACCTGTGTCCTTGGCGGTGAGCCTCCGTCGTGGCTTCAGTTTGGGGGTGGTGGCCTCCACAGAGCTGGAGGGAAAGGTGACCTCTCTATTAATGAGGGGGAGGCCCTGAGTGGGCGGGGGGACTGGGGGGACACCAGGGAGCCCTGGCTTCTTCATAGAGGGCAGGTAGGGGGCACTGTTGGGGGACAGAGAGCCCCCCAGGGGCCGCGGGAAGGAGGAGGGGCTGTGAGAGCGGTTCACATGGTTAGGGACAGCGGGGGTGGTCTGGAAGGACGAGGGGGGCTGTCTTGATGGCAGGGGGGGCATGGATGAGGAGGAGGAGGAAGAGGAGGAGTGGGGGGGATATGGCGGCTGGCGCTGGCCTGGATGACTGGGGGGCCACTGGCTGTCCTGGGGGGCCCTGCCCTCCTGGTCATCCACGCGGTTTATGCTGGGGTAGGGGGGCCCCTGGCCCTGTCTGTTGTATGTGTAGCCCATATCTGTCCTGGGGTGCCACATGTTGGCCTGTGGCCCCTCCCCGGGTCCGCCTGACACTGACGGCGGTCCTGAGCCCATCATTCCATGCTGCGGAGGCCCCTGGCGGTCCCGGCTGTATGGATATGGGTACTGGCCCTGGACCGGCCGCCGCTCAGGGCCCATGTAGCCCCCACCTCCACCTCCGAAGGGGGGGCCGAACATGTCGGGCTGCTGAGAGCTGTACTGCTGCACACCGAACCCCTCCCCCTCATGACGCTTAGAGGGAGGATACATCCCCTCCATTGGACGCTTGTAACCCTGCAGACACACAAGGACCAGCTTGTCGTCAGTGTCACTGTTCAATAAAGTTTCCATTCAACATCTGAAAGTTTCTAAAAAAAAACACAAATACAAACAACCTCTCACTGCTTCACTATTCATTCTTTGTAAAGTCAGATGTGAACACTCACCTGCTGCTGAGGGTACAGGGGCTGATGGGAACCGTAGGCCATGCCATGAGGATACTGCTGCCCATAGCCGTCATGTCCATGTCTGAGGAGAGATGATCCGCAACACTTCAATCCAACTTTATTTACACACCTCAACAATACACATTCAAATCACACAGACAAAAAAAACAACAACAAAAAAAAAAAACTACAAACACTTTAAACTCCTCTCACCTCTGGTGGGGGTATCTGTTGGTGGGGTACATGTTAGCCTCGTTTCCAGTCTGACCCATGCTGTTCTGACCTCCGGGGGGCGCCATGCCTCCCTCAGGCCCCATCACATGGTCCGGCCTGCAGGGCGCGCACACACACACACACACACACACACACACACACACACACACACACACACACACACACACACACACACACACACACACACACACACACACACACACACACACACAGGAAGTTCAGGGTCACAGAGTTTTTTCACACCACCTCACATCTTTTACATATAAATTCAACACTGTAAATCACAAGCAAATAATTCACATTATTGTTTTCAGTGGATTTTTGAGGATATTCATTTTCCAACACAAAAACTATTTGCAAGTGTCCGTTGTCTTTCAAGTTGTAGCTCGTGGTCTTGGCTAACAAACAAATCAACAATCGTATCTCTGTTGAACAGTAAAACACCAGTGTTCACACTAATCTTTTAGAATTTTACTTAATACCTAATGTTACACTGTTACACTAGAATAAAACACCTGTCTCACTGGCTGCATGATTACACTCACCACAACAACTCACACTTGCACACTGAGGTAAGAATGTATCATTACCCAATCAGTACCCAACGACACAACGAGCCCTCAGACTGTCTGATCAGTGTCTTACCTCCGCTCATATCCAGGGCCGTAGGGGTACTGGGGTCTGGGGCCCATCCCTGCCAGGGGCCCGGATGGTGGCCCGCGTGGGTACATGTCCTGCATGGCACCGCTGGGCATCTGACCGGGACCGAAGGCTTCGCCGGGCCCCGGACCTGAAGAGGAGCAGGTAAAAATGAAAACTGCTCTGAATCATAATAAACGTATTTCTTATAAAGACACTGCTCTTATTTGTGTTTCACTTGTGTCATTGTTTCCTATCTTTAGGATGGACACTGAGGTTTAAAAACTATATCAAAACTAAAATATTTTACCTATATAATATCTAGTCAATGTGTAGTCAACTTTATCATTTTGTCAAACCTACATAACTTAGAACAGTAATTTCATTTCAACTAAATGTACATGTAATACGTTGTTGAGTGTTGAGTCTTTACAGCAAGTTTTAAGTCTGAAACCAATGTCGGCCCGTACGAGCAAAATCAATCTGAACACTGATGGATTATTTAGAAAATGATCCCTGGTGATGTAATGTATATGAAATATCTAGTCGTAGGCTAATATCTGCAGCACTGTTAATACAGCCCTTTAATGAGACTGATAACGAGACCCTTCAGGTTTTGACCACCAGGAGGCAGCAGAGCACAATCATTTCCAGCACAAGTGGCACTAGAGATGACTCTCTTTAATCCACAGCACTTTGCTGGTTACAACCAGAAAGCTATTGGTTTTCTACTGGTTTCACTTTGTATCCTAGAACCTGGTCCTGGATCAGATGGGCAGAAGACAGACCAGCAGATACCTGGGTCCTGATAATTAATGTACTTTTGGAAACCACAAGGTGTGGCAGATAGGAGTGCAGCTGATCTATATCAAGCTTTGAACTAACTTCAAAGCAGCGTAGACTGTATGGAGTAAAACATGTCCAGTAACTTCAGCCTGGATTTAGCTTGTGAGGTGAGCCATTTCTCACACATTCCTCCTGAATTACCCACAACCCTCTACCCTGTATCTGAACCTGCTGCATTTTGTTTTATGAGGCTGACATTTTCCTCTCTGTTCCTGTTTTTTTAAGAGAACTTAGTTTTGTTGTTTGTTTCTTTTTCAGGACAGCAACAGCAAAAAGCCATAAAAATTAAAATGACTCTTTTTCTTCAATTATTGAAAAACAATTTCATATGGAGAGTTTGTTCCATAAACCATTTTATGTGTATTTAAAATCACTGCTGGCGTAAAAGTTAAAGTTAAGTCTGGAAATGTTGCACCCATCCATCAACAAAGTGACCTTTCCCCTTCTCACCTTTCCGCAGTCCTCCGTATGCGTCTTTGTTGGCATCGTACTGCATCCTCATGGATGGGTCTGTTGGACCTCCTGCTTGGTGGTAAGGGGCGCCGCCGGGTCCCGGGCCTCGCTTGCTGTGGAAGGCTGGATCGCTGCCTTCAGAAAATGGGTCCTGGATGCTCACTCCTCCCATGATCCTGAAGAAAAACGTTAAAGTGAAAGAGGAAGAGTTCAAGAGGAGTCATTAAAAATATGATATGATATATAGTGGCATTGCTCATATTTTTAAAACTTTTTTTATTACATCGAACAAACTGATAGATCTGTGAGCTCTGGCTAACTCCAGCTAACAAGGATTCACACTGGATTCTAGTGAATCTGAGAATATTAATCTATTAGTTGGTCTAAAGAAAATGAACAGGCAACAACTATGATTACTGACTTCCCATTTCAAATCAATTTTTTAAGAAAAAAAGAAGAAAACATCTCTGGTTCCAACTTCACATATGCTATTTTTTTTTTAATTCTCTGTAATTGTTAAGGAAATATTTTTAACATTTGATGACATTGCCTTGGGCTTTGTGAAATTGCAATGACCATTTTCTGATGTTTAATAATCCAAACAATTAATTTATGAATTGCGATATCAATAATGGAAATAATTATTAGTTGCAGCCCTTGTTCTAATCAAAATTAACTACAGATCATCAACAGGCAACACGGGGTAAGAACCAGTTTCTGGTAGTTTCAACTGTCCTCCTAGTTAAAATCCAAAACACTCACCACATTGCTAAATGCTAGTAGCTAACTCTGCAGGTTTCCTCGTTATATTGTACATTCTCTATGCATTAGCTTTATGATTTGTGCAATTAAAAGGTGCAAGAACAACTCATAATGTTAATCTTCTTATAAGCTTTCAGTCACTACAACAGCGTCTCTAGGAAACCTGTCGGTAAAAGCACTTTCAGTAACGGGCTGGAAAAGTGCGTCTACATTTCAGGTAAATTTTGAAACCACTTCCAGCCTCACCTAAAAAAATCGGAATTTTTTTTCCCTAATCACTGTTAATTCTAGATGAGGTGTACCACAAGGCTCGATTATGGGCCCTCTACTGTTTGGTTTATACTATTTTTAGTAGTAGATGGGCCATCATCCACAGCAATCAGTCAACACAGTCTCTCTCAAAATATTTAAAATTGAAACAATCTACACATGTTTAATATGACAAAAGCTGATAAAATGATCATGTCATTTCCACAGGTGTTACTCTTGTGAGTAACTCCAGAATTAATCATTTAGTTTGACCAGGTGTTTATGGGATTTTGTTCCCTCCTCTACCTGTTTCCAGGCTGGGGGCCCATCTGGCTGTGCGGGGTGGAGGCAGGTGTCGGGGGCTTCAGGTCTACGGGGGCCTCGGTCAGGGAGCTACTGCTGGACTGAGGGGTGTTGGGGCCCTGCAGGGAGCCCGAGTTGGCTACAGAGATACAGACCAGACAGAAAACCTGCTGAGAACAAGGGTTACGTGTCGTCATGTAACTTCACACCATAGTTATTCAGACAAGCCAGAAAAATGCAGGGGGATCGAGAGCAACCAACTGAACACAAATATCATTTCAAATGCGCAACTGGAAGACCTCTGCACAGGACAGTTCAAATTCTAGCGCTTGAGGTTTTTTAAATGTGTATTGTATCCACCTTAATAGATTCCAGTTTTCAGGACTTGTTGGGTCAACCTTCAGAAATTTCCACTTGTTGGAACTTGTGGGTTCCACCTTAATGCACTTCTTGTTTTCAGTACTTGTGGGGTCCAAATTAAGATGTTTTCAGGTCTTGTTTAATACAGGTCTCAAATACATGTCCACTTTCATGCACACTTGACGCATGAATACACTTCCAGCTTTTAGTACTTGTCGGGTCCACCTTCAAAAATTTCCACTTGTTGGAACTTGTGGGTTCCACTTTAACATACTTCTTGTTTTCAGTAATGTGGGGTCCAACTTAAGACATTTCCTTTGTGGGGTCCACACACAGTTTTTAGTACTTCTGGGGTCCATATAAATACATTTGCAGTTCAATACTTGTAGGGTCCACCTTAATGAACTTTCTGTTCAGTACTTGAGGGGTCCTCATTAATACACTTCCAGTTTTAAGTAGTTTCATCCAGTTTCATTGCCTCTCTCTCTCTCTGACTTTCCTGACTCTCTCACTGCCGCTGTCACGATAAAGGAAAAAAATGTCTTGTATGGTCTATGTAAATACTGTGCACGTCTTACTTGTGGGGTCCACACTGATACACTTTATGTTTTAAGTACTTGCGGGATCCTCATTAATACATTTAAGTATGTAGTAAGTAAGTAGTTTTTAAGTCATTGTGGGGTTCACATAAATACAGTGCACCTTTTGCTTGTAATACTTGCTGCCAGTGTTTAGTGCTTTACGCCGTAACACACTTCCAACTTTTAATACCTGGAGCTTCCATAATAAATAAAGTTTTTGGTTTCAGTACTTGTGGGATTCAGATGTTTTAGATGGACACATAATATATACAGGTTTCCCATACCTTCTTAAAAATCTATCTCAAGGACTTTTAAAGGACTTTCAAGGCCCAATTCCCTGAAATTCAAGGACCCAACACAGATGCAGATCAAGGTTAATTACTGTTACAACACTGAATTTTATACAGAAGCTCACAGACAACAATCAAAAAGAGAGAGAAGCTTGAATGAGTGAACACATCTAAGCTCTTGGACACGTGCACACATCAGCACTTCGCCTATTTACTAACATTAGGTAAAAAAACAACAAACGTAAATTTCTATTTTTCCACAGAATATATAAATTCCAGCACTTTCAATGGCCCATGTCTATTTATGTACATTTCCAAAAACTTTCAAGGCCTTGATTTGTTTCTTTTCACAAACCTCCAAGGATATCAGGGACCCATGGGAACCCTGTGTGTACTAAACTCTGTATGTGTTCAGAGAGAGAGAGAGAGAGAGAGAGAGAGAGAGAGAGAGAGAGAGAGAGAGAGAGAGAGAGAGAGAGAGAGAGAGAGAGACAGAGAGAGAGAGAGAGAGAGCCAGACATACAGAGAAAGACAGCGGTATCGTGGGAAATTAGGTCAGGCTGAGGTCAGTAATGTTTACATTCACACCCTCCTCCCCCACTGGACAACTCACTGTGCTTCTGTGTTACACAATCACACTGCTGTGTTTGTGTGTGAGTGGATTCCTACCACCGACAGTCTGGCATCATTAAAGCCTTTTTCACAGAGTCAATCTGTAACATGTGACGGCTTTTTGTCATTCAGACACGAAGAGTAAAAGTTCCTCACAGCTTTATTCAGACATGATGGGATATTTATGGAGAGAGCCACAATGCTTGTTGATATTTGTCATTTGGTCCACTGAGGGAGTCGGAAAGAACCGACTCTAAAGAGGAAGAGTGTTTCCTGTCCTCTCTCAGGTCGCATCACTGATCATCACAATTAATGACTATAAGGAGTGTGAAAGACTCTTGCCACATCTTCTGATAGCGAATTAACTGATAAATGTTCTCATCAGGTTCATTATTTGTTAGAGAATTATCTGTTTTACATTTAACAGTGGTCAAACTGAGAATGACAGAATATTTGACAGAATTGCTGAATATTCATTTCTTCATTCATGCAGTTAGCAGGGATACAGTTCAAAACGTAAGGAGGGAATCAGCTGTCTGTTAACTTCCTCCACAACATCGGGGGAAAAATCATTAATTTGAACTTATCTTCCAGAAAAATAGTATTTACAACATAGAATGAGCTCACTGAGTGTTGATCTGGTTTGTTAAACTGATTTTATTTCATTAAAAGGACATAATAATTGACTGTGTATTAAACCTCGTGAAGCTCTACTTGTGGTAATCTGACAGTTCAGACTTCAGTTGCACTGAAATATTAGAGAAATGTTGCAGGTCCAAGTGACTCAAGCATCTGTTCAACTTGCTAAACTGCCAGAACTTTTACGTAACAAGGTGATTGTAATCATGCATTCACTTGACACTTGTCATTTTTGGTGACTTGTGAGGACAAACTTTTTCAGTGGTCAGACTTGCCTGAAAAAAAAACTGTTGTGGAAAAAACTGTTGAACACAAATATTACTTAACATCAATAAATGAAAATACTTTTGCACCAGACCATGTTTTTCATCACTTGTGAGGACACTTCAAAATTTTAGTACTTGTGAGGTCCAACCTAATATACTTCGTTTTCCAGCATTTGTCCAATCCATTTACATACATTCTTTGTTTTTAGTCTAATACCTGCAAATACCTGCCTGCAAATCACACATCATCCCAATAACCACACCCAGAGGTTATATAACCTGACCCATCTGTCTGCAAGTCCTTTCCCTCCAAACCAAAGACAACAAAACAAAGACAACTGAGAACCAGCAAGTTGGACTCGTAGTATGGACCTTTAAAACCTTGTTATTTTATATAGGAACCTAGTACCAACACCTCACAGGACTACTAAAGTTTTAGGTCATGATAAACTCCAGATCACAGGTTGCTAACTTCCTGCAGTGGATAAATAGCTAATAGAGAACAAGTAACTTCTTACCTGGGGAGGGCGGCTGGATCTTGGCCTGGAGTGACGGAGGTTTCTTGGAGTCTCCGGCAGGCCCCAGGCCCTCAGGTGGAGGCTCCTCTCCTCGCTCCACTTTACACTCATAGGCAAACAGGTACTGGATGTACTGCTTCTTCAGAGAGCTGGCCGCGCTGCTGGACGTCCCCACGTTCAACAGGGACGATAACTCCCTCCACTTCTTATTCTTGTTCACCTGAGAGGAAGACACAAAGAGGGAAAACAGATTTATTCACTAAATTCCTCCGGAATCCAATCGTGGATTAGACAAGCTGAGAAGAACCATGAAACCATGCAGGTAGCAAACTCACTAAATGGAAGCTCACTAGAATGTGGCTAAAACTAATGTACATGTCATTCGAAAGACTAAAATGTGAAAGAACAAAATTAAAGAGAAGGAGATGAAGGAGGTAGAGAAGAAAATACAGGATGAAAGAGAACAAGAGTGTACTCGTTTTCTCACCATGGCCAGGCCTCCTATCTCTCTGACAGCCAGGTAAAGTCTGCACAGGTCAAGCGGCTTCTTCCCAACAGCGGGCAGGTTCGGGACGGGTGTCCCCCTCTCCTCCATGAAGGCCAGGTACCGGTCCACCCACAGCCGCCTCTCCGGCTCAGAGCCCATCTCATACAGCCGAGTGATCTTCTCGTTGGTCATGGTGGCCACGCTGGCCTTCTGGAGAGACCGAGACATGGAGACAACAGTTAGCTTCAGGTTTACGATCGGAGCAGAGGAGGACTGCACAATACGGCCAAAAATCACTTGTGATCGACGGCTAATAAGAACTAATGAACAGTTTGTCAGCCACACAGTTTTCAGAGAGGTGGTGGTCTATGAAACATCAGACAACAGTGAAACATGGTCCAAAACTGAAAGATATTCTGTTTACTGTGATATGAAACAACAGACAACAGCAATTCATCACAATTTCTAATAATAAAAACAAGTAAAACAACCTGTTTTTAATTGATATTGTGCAGTCCCACACAACAGCTACATACCGTCACATCACAATGACACAAAGAACACAGTGCTACCCAACCTGTCTTTTTTTTTTTTTTTTTTTTAAGTCAGGTGCATTTGGTACCAGCACCACATGCAGTTCATCCAAATCCACTGAGACAAGTCAATGTCAACGGATTTGTAAAGTTTCCTTTAGGTTTTGTTCTGAAAACTGAAAAATATCCATTTCCATTTCAAGTACTTTCACTGAGCACTTTATTAGGAACACCTGTACACCTGCTTATTAATGCAATTATCCAATCAGTCAATCATGTGGCAGCAGGGCAATGCATAAAATCATGCAGACACAGGTCTGACCATGGTATGATTGTTGATGTCAGACGGGCTGGATTGAGTTTTTCTGAAAACACTGATTTCCTGGGATTTTCACGCACAAAACACTCTTGAGTTTTTACTCAGAATGGTGCAAAGAAAACCAAAATAATCCAGTGAGCAGCGGATCTGAGGACTGAGCCACCTTGTTGAGAGAGGGTGGAGCTGAAATCTGGAGTGGACACAGGTTCAACAAAATTGGACAGCTGAAGACCTGGTCTGATGGATCTGGATTTCTACTAATGCACGCATGGACCCAACCTGCCGTATGTCAACAGGCTGGTGTTGGTGGTGTAATTGTGTGAGGAATGTTTTTTTTGGCACACTTTGGGCCCTTTAATACCAATCAATCATGGTTTGAATGCCAGAGACTATCTGAGTATTGTTGCTGACCATGTTCATCCCTCCATGGCCACGGTTCACCATCTTCTAATGGCTCCTTCCAGAGGCATCATGCAGCATGTTACAAAGCTAAAGTCGTCTCAAACACGACAGTGAGGTCAGTGAACTTCAGTGCCCCCCCCCCCAGTCTCCAGATCTGAATCCAGCAGAACACCTTTGTGATGTGGTAGAGCAGGAGATTGGCAGCATGAATGTGCAGCTGAAAAATCTGCAAAAATGATGTGATGCAGTCATGTCAACATGAAGCAGAGTCTCAGAGGAAAGTTTCCAACATCTTGTAGAATCCATGACACGAAGAACTGAGGCTGTTTGAGAGCAAAGGGAGGGACTGCCCAGTGTTAATATGTGTTCCTAATGTGTGTGTGTCTGTGTGTGTCTTCTTAATGCCAGAGTCAAGGGCTCTTTCACAAATTCATTAACAAAACCAACTTTTAAGGTTCATTACTACAATAATACTGATCAGTGATCCTCCGTTTTCAGTCCAGTTCCCAATCCGTAAAGGCTGACAACCATTATATGACGTCAATGAGGGAGTAGGTTGGGCAGCACTGTGGCACAGAGTCGGCAGAATGAAATCAGATACAGTCACAGCTCACAGAACGAGACTTTCTCATTAAAACAGTTAGAAAATCAGGTTTCAACTACTGTTTTCAAAGTTTGGTTTAGGTTGTTCATATTGAAATTCCTATTTTTTCCAGATCTTTTTCAAGCCCACAAAATGTCAAATTTCTTGAATTAAACCACTTGTTCCTGACACATTCTTTCCCATTGTAATGAACTGACAGAGAAGGAAGTTCCGCCCACACTCTTACCAGAACTTCAACCACAGAAAATCATCATCTAATATCAGTGGGTATTATGGGTAAAATCCAGTATCATGGTACTTTTATAAACCGCATTTTGACCGGTTTTGGTCTTCAGTTGGTTTTCAGTTTCTTTACCTCCTCCTGGACATGTTTCGTGGTGTGGAAAATGTGTTTGCTCGCTCAGTGCTCGCTCGCTGCTGACTTTTAAACATGGCGAGTGAAATAAAATGCTGCGAGTACTCGACCAGTCAGAAATTCAGCACTGCAGACCACACCCCCCAATGTTCCTGAACCTTTGGAAAGTACTACCCCCCCAACCAGGTACCTTTTTGGGGGTCGATCAATTACCCCAGGACTAAATTTAGAGCCTGGTTCCTGCGGTGGAAACGCGCATAGTTCCTCAAAAGGTTCCTGGGGACAGTTCCTGTGGTAGATACGCGGCTATAGTGTGATTTCGATACAGTATGTGGTGATATAGTTACGTTTCTGGAAAATAATATGAGATGGAACCAGATGGGAATGTCCAGGTGATGAGAGGGTTACTTCATCACACTGAAATAAAATCCAGAATACACACAAAAATCATTAAGGGTTAGGGTTGCTTGAAAATTGCGCACAATGGTCGAAAATGGTTGCCGATATTCATTTGGATACTTTATTATATTTCAACAAAAGGTTTCATGACGCTGACAAGCTTTCACGTCCCTCTGTCCCCTGTATTTGTCGCATTAGATCAAGAAATCTGGGTAAATGGAAAATGTTTGACTCCTTTTGTTTTAATAAGAAAGTCTCACAATAAACATTTGGAAAATCACATTTAGATGAAAAACATTTATAATAAAAAAAAAAAAAAAAAAGAAGGGTTTGGTTTTCAATAATAAAAAAACATAAAAAAATCAGATGCAAGCACATTGCTGCTTTGTCCAATGAAAACCTTGTATCTCCAAACAGTGGACAGCTTTACCTAAATCACTTTTGGCATGTCTCACTGGGTTTAGGAGAATAAAATAGACAAAAGTAATAATGTGAGCTAAAGCTACAAGTGACGGCATGTGGAGGTTCCAGGTTTTCATACATCAGCAGCAGCAGGAAGCAGGGCTCTACGGTGACAAAAGTTCAGTGGGCCAAACCGCTAGAGGATCTTAGTTACAGTCAGTATCGTCAAAAAAAAAAGTAGCATGATTTGACATTTACACACCGTAGAACCCTGAAGAATATTAAAAGACAAAAAAAAAAAAGAAAAAGAAAAAGAAAACTGTTGTTGTGCTTTGCGGCACTTACGGGGCTGGTCGGTGTCTTGGGCCAGGCAGGGCTGCTAATGCTATCACTGTCCTCCCCGTGACAGGAGGACAGACTAGCTGAGCTGGGGGACATGGGGGAGGGGGTGGGGGGCTGGGACACACACTGAGAGCTGTAGCTGTCCTGTGACACAAAACACACACACACATACAGAAATCATCCACACACACACACGCATACACGCACACACACACACGCACACACGCACACACGCACACACACACACAGACACACACAGACACACACAGACACACACACAGACACACACACAGACACACACACAGACACACACACAGACACACAACAGAGCCACGAGGTGAGGGGAGGCCAGGTAAAAAAAAATAATAAGACAGATGTTTCTTCTCCAGGATTTTGTTTTCATGTTTCGGACAGCAAACACACCATGACATCATCACAGAGTGAACAAGCAGAAGCTCAGGAGTGGAACCGGCTTTACACAGCAGTGTTAGCATGTAGCATTTAGCAGCTGGGAGCAGATGGACAGCCGGGTTAATGTGGCTCGTTAAATCTCACAGCAGAGAGAAGAAACACTCATTAGCTGCTCAAGTTCTGCTCTAAACAATTGGTTAAAGACCTAACCTTTAAAAACAGGGTTTATTACAGACACAACCAAGAATATCTCAAGTGATAACCCAGAGTATCCCTGCAGTGACTGCTTTGTTGTGACATCACAAAGTTCCAGAAGTCCTGACAGCTGGTTTTAAGGCTCAGTTTCTGAATACAGGCTGTGTGCATTTCTCTGTGGACTGAGGCTTTGATACTTTCACAGTATTAATATAGAACCTAGACCTGATCTATAATCACACAGCACATGGACAGAGACCTTTATACTGTATGGGACTTTTAACACCTCAATTTACTTTAATTAGTGACAGACTACTTAATTCATAAAACTATTGAAGCCCTTAGACAGGAATGTAAGAGGGGACAGAGCAGCACAGGAAACATTTAGGGCTTCAATTAATTCGGGTTTTTAGCCCCTCAAATCACTTATATTTGTTATTTCATCACAATTTGAACAAGAAGGTTTCTACTGTTTTTAAAAGGTAAAACTGAGTTTATTTCACTTGTTCTAAGTACAGTAAATAGTTCATATTCATAAAGTTACCATACCTTACTTTATTAGCTGATAGAGGAAATATTTCCCCCTGCTTCAAAGAAAACTAATCCCTGCCTCAGTCTTCTGTCCATGTTACTGTTATTTTGAGTTCTCCAAAAAAAATCTAGTTATCTGGGAAAATAGTAGAATTGTTGTGAATTTTAACAGTCAACAGAGCTTTAAAGTTTCCACCCTGTTCACATTTCCTGTTGTCACACTTCTATTTTGAAGTTTCTCTGACAGCTGACAAAACACAACACCTAACCTACAGAGCGTCAAAAAAGTGGGAAAAATTAGCAGCAGCAGCAGAGTCTCTGCGCTGCGGCGAAACACGAAGCCGAGCTGTTGAAACTCGTCGACAAACTGCAGACACAAAGCAGCCAGTTCTCATCAAGTGAACCCGAGTCAAAGCTGAGACGGAGCAGAGTTGTCTCACGCAACCCCCGACCGCCACACACAGATCTGTGTCGGCTGTGATCAAGGCCGACTCTTCACTACGAGATAATGAGGAGAGGCAAGTCTAAAAGATGGCAGCGAGGAGGAGAAGCCGGAGTTTTCAAAACTCCAGCTGCTGAGCTGAGAGTGAACTAAACAAGAGGGAAAAACAAGATAAAACGAGGAAGAGAAGAAGAAAAAAAAATCTCTGGCTCCTGTTGGCAGGAACTGGTTATTTTGGGTTTTCTGTAACATTTCCAAACCAGCCAAACACAGATGAAATAATGACAGGTGTAACAATCACTGTGCTTCTGGAAACAAACTGGTCAACACTGTCGATGACAATGAACTAGGAAGACACAGAAAAACAGCAGTAGGGAGTCTTTTTCTTAGCGAAACCTCTCCTGGTTGCAACAAACAGAATGTACTAAAAAAAAACTTGACATGTCAATCTGAATTACAGTTTTCCTCTACACTTTGTTTTCAGATTCTCAAAGACTGTGCTGTTTAGGGTCACATCAATATCTCTGTTCTGCCAGGGCCGAATTAACCTTCTGCTTGGCCCCAGCACAAAAACCAGCACAACCAGGTTTTAAATATAGATTCCGACCAATATTAGATAGAAATGAAGTCGCCCTACAGTCCTTTTCATTTCAGTTTGCATTACCACAAAGTACGGGCCACAGAGTGAACCTGGAGCTTGGAGGCTGCCAAGTCTGTAATCCAGCCTTGCTTTGTTGTATTAGACGATACCATGGATGTAGTCCAATGGATCTGTTCTCATTTATATGTTTTTCTGTTTCTGTTGTCAGACAGTGGGACAAGTATGAAATAGTGAGTGAAACGCAGCCCATTAAGACCAGCAGTCATCTCCAAGCTGCTGCTCTGCAGCTGAAATCCTGATTTTATAACCACAACGTCATCTGACAAAATCACCGCCCAGTACTGGCAACTCTCTTCTATGAAAAGTAGCTAAGGTTTGTCCAAAGAGTCAATAGATTTGTTGGTAGGTCCTTTTTTGGAAAAAAGTCACTAAAGGGGTCTGAAGATGGTAAATACAGCGACAAAGGTGCTAAGCTGTTGAAAGTTTTTGTTTGTGCCAAATCATTTTGAAAGCGCAATGACCAATGGGGAAACTCCCAACACGTTGACGGCTGTTGCTGTAGAGCCAAAAATGGATTTGAAAAAGTTTCATGAGGTAGGAAATAAGTATGTATTTATTAAAACTTAACAAGACTGAACTACATTCGTTAACAATGAGGACTCCAAAGGGTCCCTTTAAATAACCATTGAACATTCTGATTCAAGTCAGGCCAACTACCCACAAGGTAAAGTGCAGAGGCCTGGCACATGGTCAGTTCATGTTCTTGCCAACTGCAAAGGTCAGTCATTATCTTCATTCAGTCTGTGGTCATGAGAAATGGATATACAGTGGGTTCCAAAGGCCTGAGACCACTTTGGGAACAACACACTAGAACGGGGCATGTTTTGCTCAGACACTATCGATGAAGAAACATTTTTCTGGGAGGTTGGGATAATGGCCATATCAAAATTCTCAATTGTAAAAGCATCTGCTGTGAATGGTGTCCTGAAGGTTGCCTCTGGTGGACACCAGGAAACTGTTGAGCTGAAGATGACCTTCTGGACTTTGACGGCCGATGGGCTCTCAATTCAGTGATCAATCTATATCCAAACCTTCACCCATGGTCATAAATTCTAGGAACTGTCTGAAAAGGAAGAAATGAGTTCCTTCGTATGGTGTCTGGTCACACCCTAAAAGACATTTAAAAGGAATTTGGAAGAGACCCACTTCTCTTTCACATTGAAAAGTGAATCCACAACACCTTTCCTGTGGACCTATTGTGGACCTGTCCAACTGCATACTCCAGAGAAACACGCTAAAGCGATTTTAAACCCCACCAGACCTGGGAATTCAAATTTAGCTGGAAAAGCAGAACCCCTGAGCTACCCAGTTTAAGCTGCTATCACCATGACCAGGACCCACATAAGAAGCAAAACATGAATTGATTGATTGATTGATTGATGGGTTGCAAAAATATATCTAATAATCTAAAATGTCAGTGGGCGGTTTAAATGACGTAAATAAACGTTGTATCGACGTATTTAAAAGGGTAAAATACCCCCCCCCCACCACCTGTGAGTAGAACCAAATTGTTGGGAAAAAGCAAAGTTCTCAAACTCCGCCCCCTCGATAAAACCTTGAAATCTCAACAATGACTTTCAACAAACCTGCATCAGTGCCTTTAAGATGCATTCTCACACTAGGCTCAGCATACATGCATCTGTTAGAGCATGCCAAGAGTGCAAAAACAGCACGGTGGGAGCTGGTGTGATTGGCAGAGCAAACAGCCATTGTGATTGGTTAACAAAACCAAAGGACGCACCTTGGGTTTGGGTGGTTCAGTGGCAGGGCCAACGCTCTCTTTGCTGAGCTCAACCCTTTGCTTGGTATCTGGATGAGCACCCATCCCTTCAGCTGGCATCATCATGGGACCTAAAAGATGAAGGCAACAGATCCACTTTCAAACTCAAGTGTTCCAAAATTACAAAAGTGTGACTTTCGACAGACTTTGGAGTCTAGTCCTACCTGAAGGCGGGGTGTTGTAGGAGGGTCCCTGTGGCGTCATCCTCCCGGAGTTACTGCCTGGTTGCTGGGTGTAGGGACCTGCAGGACCTCCAGGACCTCCGGAGCCCATTCCTCCCATTGGTGCCATGCCCGGGTAGCTGCCCTGCCTGGACACCGCAGAAGGGAAAAAGGGATTCAATAATTATTATGAGATGTGATCAAACTGGCAAGGTGGCAGCTCACATGCAGAAGAAGGAAGAAGGTGAAGATTAAAGCATCGGTCTCAGGGTCCGTGCAGTTAGAGGAGACAAAGACTCGGCTGAAACATGGCAGAGACAAAGAGCGAAAGACCCGAAGAGTTTCGTATGAAGTCTCCCGGTCTTCTCAAGCTGGAGGAAAGATCTCAGTGGAAGGTTAGTTCAGCCGGTTGCACCTTTCCAGCATGCTGTCTTAGACCCTCTGTGCCGTTTTGTTTGCTTTATAATAAATGATTTCGGAGGATCTAGGAGAATAGGAAATGATATAGTTGAATGTATAATATGCTGAATACAAATGGACATGGGCAGTTCTCTTTATACATTTTTTAACACTTAGCATGTTCTCGTTATGTTTGCCAGGTGTGATGTGTCTTTTTTAAATTTCCTTTGGTAATATCAATGTTGTTTCGAGATGTTTACAGAGATGTTTACTGACTAAGCATAAGTTAAGCCAAAGCAGCTGTGGATACAAAAAGAGGTTTTATTTCCTGATGAAGACAAAGCAGCCGCTCTGAAGCCAAACTGGAACCGTCAAGAGGACAGGACAGGAAGTTGCCTGGTTAGTAAAACATCCCATAAACCTCATGTGCAGCACAGCCTGAAATGGACTTAAAATTTGGGATACATACCAAACCATGGCTATTGTGAACCATTAAACTTTATTTTAAAATTAATGTTTTTTTTAGGAGGTGCACTACAGTTGTTTCATCCAGGCCAACACCAAACATGAGAGATGCTAATCCAATGAGGTACAATTTCGGAAAAATTAAGAAATATCACGCCAGGCTGTGTTTCTGTATCTGTCAGGCTCTGGTACCAAACCTACCCATAGTGCTCAGGGGGGGTCTGCACAGCATTGGTGCCCTGTTGGGAGTGGTGAGGAGGGTGGGGAAGAGGAGGGTGGTGGTGGGGGTGAGGGTGAGGAGGGTGGGAGGGATGAAGAGTAGGAGAGAGGGAAGGTCGACCCCCGGGCCAGGACTGGTTGTGGTAGACGGGCGACCGAGCGAAGGGAGGCCTGGAGGGATGGAGGGATGGTGGAGGTTGAGAGGCAACAAAAACTTTTGATTTGTTCAAAACTGTCAACTTTCAGCAGCTGCAAACAATCACGTTGATCTTCAAAGACTCTAAACACAAACCTCAGTGATCAACTCATGAGAGGTTTTCCTTCTTTCACTCTTTATCAGAGCAATTCCAGGTTGATAGGAACTGATTTATGAGGAAGGAAACACATTCAATACATTTGTCGGACTTCAAGTACAGAGGTGTTTAGAGAAAAAGTAAACAGATCTTTGTTTCTAAGTAAACTCCAGGGGTATATGTATAGTTCCTGGAACTTTTTTCATTTTCCAGACTGTTTCGCTAGTTTCTAATCTCTGTAACCTCTCTCCGTCAGGACTCACCTGCTCTGAGCAGCAGCTGTGGACGAGGAGGAGGAGTTGGCACTGGGCCCGGCACTGGGGCCGACGTCTGGCAGTTTGCGACTGGCATTGGGCCCCGGAGGCCTCATGCCCTGACCGGCAGGCTGTGGCATACCCGGGGAGGTGGGGGCCATGGTGTTCCCTCCAGCAGGGTAGGGTCGCCCCCCTGCACCGGGCCCCGGGCCACGACCTGCTGGGGTGGAGGGGCCCTGACCGTGCATCGGACTGCTGGCATTCAACCCCAGGCTGTTGGCTAAGCTGGGGCCAGGGCCGGGGCCACTGTAGTTGGCACTGGGGGCCCCGCCATAGTGGGGGGGCCGGGGGTAGTTACCTGACAAAGGAGAGGTGAGATGAGACATTAGACTGGAAGTAAATAGAAAATGTGCAAAAAATGTTTCACAATTGTTTTTACCTGGGGGTCCATACTGGCCATATGAGCTGCCCTGCTGGTAGGAGCCATGGTGCATGGGCCCCCCCGGTGCTGGGTGAGGGGACATAGGTGGGGCTGACTGCTGAGGGCCAAACTGGGGCCCTGCGGTACTACGCTGCATGGAAGGAGGGAAACCTGAAGAAACAAGACATGAGAAGCAGGTAAGAGAAGAAGGGACCAGGAAGAAAAACCCAGAGATCCAGGTCCAGGACAGGTTTAGCCTAGCTTAGCACACAGACTGGAAGCAGGGGGCTGAGTCCTTACTGCAGCGACCTGGGTTCAAATCCAACCCAGGCGCTTTCCTGTATGTCATCCCCCTCTTCCTCCCGCCTGTCCGGTCTCTCTACTTCTCTCTACTTCAAGCAGGGGGAAACTGCAAACCAAAACAATCCTGCAGGTTCATCCAGATTTAAAGTAAGCACAGAAAATGTCCTCCTCTAGGAAATGAAGGTTGAAGGTGAAAACAGTGAAACATGTACATGAAGAGAAAAATAAAATTGTCTACAGGAGGCTTTAAAATGATCATTTATGAGACAGATGACTGACTGACTGACTGACTGACTGACTGACTGACTCACACACACTCACACACACACACACACACACACACACACACACACACACACACACACACACACAGTTACCTCTGTCCTGAGTCATGGCAGACTGGGAGGAATGAGGGCCGACATCTGATCCAGGACCAGAGACCTGAGGGGTCAACTGAGCGCCTGAGACAGACAGAAGACAGTGTGTTAATATCACTCCACTGGATCCCACTGCAGACATCTAGGCTTGTGTGTAAATATCTTTTGGTTTCCATGGCACCACTGCGTCCAGCAAAGCAGCTGTGATGTGGTGTTAGACTCAACAACTGACTGAATGGACTTAACTAAGAGATGGGAACCTCATTAACTCCACTGGGACAGTCTCACTGTGTGTGTGTGTCTGTGTGTGTGTGTGTGTGTGTGTGTGTGTCTGTGTGTGTTTGTGGAATGAGATATATACTGTATAAAGTATTCAGACCCTTTAGTACTAATTAGGAGTCATTAGGCATTAGCCTGTTAACAGTATTCACAGGTGTTTACACATCATCATCATCCTACCTGGTCCGCTGGTGGCGGGGGACAGTGGTCCAGATCGTGATTGGCTGCTGGACCCAGCGGGGGACGGTGAGGGTGAGGGTGATGGCCCGGTGCGAGCTGGCGGGGGGTGTCGAGGCGATACATGGGGGGAGAAAGGAGAACGGGCCGGAGTCCCCTGGTCGCCCTGAGTGCTGCCGGATCCCGATGCCCCTGAACTCACCGCAGCCTCAGTGCCGGTCGGCAAATCATCGATTGAGCCGGACAAGTCCTGAAACACAGAGGAGACGATGGTCAACACAGACTTTTAATTAACTGATTTATCAGGTTTTTATTTATGTTATTGAGTTTTTGATCTCAGGCAACATTCTCTTAACATTTCCTGGAGATTAGAGTGTGATGCTCAGTTGATTAATTGAATTGTCAATCAAGAAAAAAAAAATCCAAAAAATCATTGGCATCATCTTTTTCAATCAAGTAATCATTTAAATAATTTTTAAAGCATAAATACCCCAGAGTGTGATGCTTCCAGGTTCTCAATTGATAACATTTCCTATTTTTTGTCTTACACTGTAAGTAAATGGAAAACTTTGAGGTTTTGATTGTTGCTTGGAACAAAATAAGACACTCAATGACATCACCTCATGCTCTTGGATTCTGTAATGGGATTTTTTTTCCTACTATAAATCCATTAATTACGATAATAATCAGAAGTATGATCAATTAGTAACCTTTCTGCTGTCCCTGTTTCTGGCCTGATTTCACAGACCTCTATCTAATGGTAAGTAATGTAAACTTTACAGAACCATTGTTAATGACACTTGTACCATTCGATTTAATAACAGAAACTACTCAATAATATAGGACATACAACACACCATTTTCTTTGAAATTATTATTTTGCCTGTAATTTTTTTATTATTCTGCAGTGAACCAACTAAAAAAAGAATTATAAAACTCAATTTCAACAAATTTTAGATTTCCTGGTTCCCACATTTCACCAACTTTCAAGTTAATAGGTAAAAGTAATAAGGTGTACACATTGTGAACTTGGTTGTAATAAAAACACAGAAGGGAGGAGAAACTTTTATTAATTACAAAACAACAGCAGCCCATAAACTTGTTTCACATGTAAAGAAACTGTACACACCGGCGTCCACACACATGGTAGCACTACAGTGGTTAAAACAATGATTCGTTTCCCTACTGCAGCTACAGAATGGTATTTCCACTTCCATTCTTCTGTTGGTTTGCGCAGTGTTTTTTTTATTTCCAGCAGAATTTCTGACTCGTCATTTAATGAAACATCAGAGCAGCGGCTTCGTATATGACCTCACCATCACACTAACAGGAGGATCATTGACTATTCTTCAGTGACGGCTCATAAACGCCTCGTTCAGCACCTCCTAAATGAGGCGAGGAGGAGTAAACGTCTCAGCTGGAGGACGTTAACGGCCCGTCCAAAACCAACAGAACCGAGTGGAAACTCTCGCTCCGATCCTGCTGATTCTTACTGTACGTCAGGCCCAACCTCAGAGAGTGGTCAGCATCCGCTCAGCCATTCAGCCTCAGACAAAGAGCAGCTCACTGTGAGGATGAACCTGAGACAACGGACTTTCAGATCTAGGAACATCATTTAAGGCACATCATTTCTCAGAGAGGCAAAAGTCTGTGTACTTGATATTTTCTCATGGGATAGGAAAGTAGTGCTTCATCTTTGTTGACACAGATCTCTCTCTGCTGCTTATCCAGCTGTAGAAATCCAAACCATTCCCAAACCACAGATGTTGTATTACCTCCTCAATTTCCTCATGTGTGGACCTATGACTCTCCTCATGGTCGCTCACTTTTACATTTCCAACAGTGTGTGTGTTTTTTTTCCTTCCTATGTTGGCCCATACACATTGTTACCCTACATAACCCTGTAGCTGCAGCCTGACGGAGTTATTGTGCAGATGAGGGTTGACCCCTCTCTGAAGTGCAGAACATTGTAAATTACTCATCAGTTTATTACACTTATCGTGGGAATTTTTTTTTTCGTGCTAATTATCAAGATTGATCATCCAGCCCATACTCTGGCAGAGTGGACAGTCTCTGGAAGTCATGAGTAAAACAGAAATCAACTGCTACACTACCCATCGTGCTTTAAAAGAAAAGAAAGAAAAGCAGAAAGAACTGAAGGAAGACAGAAACAACAAAAAAACAGAGAAAAATAGAAATAAGAACGGAAAAAAAAGGTTCAGTTTCAGCTCTGAAACAACACAGTGTTCATTTCAGCCTCTATAAAACGACTTCAAACTTTTCCCCACATCTCTACACTCCCGAGCAGCTCCTGTGATTTATGGTCACAATTACAGTGTTTCATTAAAACCTCACAGTCCCTAATTTGATGAATAGAGTTTTCCGGCCTCATCGCTCATTCACACTTTCTCTGCAGAGTGAAGGAGGACAAACTGATGAACAGACCTCTCTCTGTGTTTCCTCCACACAAACTGAACCCTCCTCATCTCAGACTTGAGTAATGTGAGCCTTCGCATCGTCATCCGTCAGCAAAGATGGAGGAGTAATCAGGGTGGAACTAGGAGCATTGTCCCTCACTTTCCGCTGCACACTGACAAACTGATAAACTATTTAAATATAGTGAACACAACAACAGTGTCTAATAGTTTCCCGATCATTTCCTCCAAACCATCTGATATGCAACTGTAGACTCATGGGGAGATTCCGGGAGAAAAAAATTGTAAATTGTTACTAATTATAATGGACTTTAACTTCCAATTAGTTATTCCAATTAAATGTGAACTTTGTATACTGGCAAAAAACAAAAAGGGCTGAAGGTAAATCTGCTCTGCCCTGATGGAAAATTCAAAAGTCTGAAAGAGCCATGACATTACGAGGGTTTGATGAAAGAGCCTCTTCATTTTCTTTTTTCACTTTTTTGTAGCTTTGTTATTGAAGTGCAACTTTTACATGCTTGTAAAGGACAGCTCTTCTTTTTCTATAGGCTCTGTTCTAGTATAAGTACTAGTACTCAGAGGGGAGAAGCATCTCTGATGTTTAAGATCAGACAGTCTTAAGAGCAAGGCAGGTAGGAGGAAAACTGAACATGCAGAGAAACCTGAAGACCTGAAGTCCAGACCTTCACTGAGGATGATGTTAAAGACACTGACGCATCATTTTCTGCCAGAAAAAACCCTGATGGAGCCTATCAGCTGAGAGACAGAGACAGAGCGAATAAAGCTGACGGCAGAGGAGGGAACATCTGGGAGCAGTCCAACACTTTCATTATCTGAGATGTGACAAAGAACAAAAGGAAAAAAAAATACCAAAGAACAATTAAGTCAGTGTATAAAACTGTCTAAGAGAAGAGGAGGAAAGATGAGAGAAGCTGCTGGCAGGTGATGGCATGAAGCCAGCTGTTGCCATGGCAGCAGCCAATGCCAATTAAGGTGACTGAAAGGTGAGGGAGGCAGGTCACTCCCAACTGTGAGCATTTTAAAATGTCTGATACTTGTGGTTCTAGGAAAAGCTCCATGCTGGAGGAAACAGTGCAGTGACTGGAACTGTTGGTTGTTGACCAATAGTCAGGAATAGACTTTATAATACATTTTTTACCAACTTTGTGGGCTTTTATCTTCTGATGTGTTTTGTATAACCTTTATTTCTCCTGGGATAATCCGTGTCAGTTTGTCTTTAAGCCTTTTATCACGTTAAAACACAGTTATCAGTTTAATGACGTGAAGTGGTTAATTATTGTAGTGGCAGCACTTTTACTCTTTTCATGGAGATATTGGAGGGGACACTTCACTTCAAGAGCAGATCAAGAACAAAAGCAGCACTTCAGAAACACAAACTACATCTGATTAAAGTGAAACGTCGCCCCTCAGCTCAGACTGACGGTGCGATTCCTCCTCTAATGTGTACAGTTCACTGCCTTGCTCAGAAGCACTACAACAACACACCTGGCTGTTTGCAGGGGGGAGCAAAAACAAGGCAAAAACACTATTCATGAAGAGGGAGGGAAGGACAGAGGGATGAAACAAAAGAAAGGAAGAGAAGATGAGAAACAAAAAATAAGGTGTCAAGGAGGAGACGACAAAAAAGAAACAAAGAGGAAGAAAAATAAGAAGAAAGGAGATGAAGAAGTGAGCAGTGAAGGAAAATGAGACAACATAGAAAACTACAGGAGGGTGAAAAGTGAAATAAAAATGACAAGAAAAGAGAAGGTGAGAAAAGGGGGAGTTGAAAGGTGGATGGAGAAAAGATAAAAAAAAGGAATGAGAGGAAAGAGAAGATGAGGAGTTGAGGTGAGGAATAGAAGAGAAAGAAAGGAGGAGGGGAGGTAGGAGAAGGAGGACGGGAAAAGGAAGGGGGGAAGAAATTGACGAAGAGAGTCTGAGAAGAAGGAGAAAAAGAGGAGAGAAACACTGCACTGAAATCTCCCATCTGCCCCTGGGCCTGGGACCAGCCAATCACAGTGCAGCAACCCATCCTCCCTCCCTCCTCCTCATGCCAACAGCTCAGCCAATCAGTTGCTGCACTGCCTCTCTCACACTCACACACTCACACACTCACTCACACACACACACACACACACAGTCTAATTATAAAGAGTGAGCTGCAGAGAGCGAGAGAGTGTTTCTCTGCAGCCTTGCTCGACCTTCTCCTCCTTCACCTGTTCTCTCGCCTCCTCCTCCTAACTTCCTCTTCCACATTCCTCCTTTTCTCCTCCTCTAACATGTTCTTTCTCTTCCTTCACCTCCTCTTACATTCCCTCCCTATCTTCCTCACATCCTGCTGTCTCTCTCCTCCTTCTCTTCACATTTTCCTGCTGCCCCCCCTTCATCTTCTCTTCTTCCTCCATCTCTTCCTCCTCTTGTCACTTCCTTCCTCTCCATCCCATCTTCCTTTTCCTTTACTCCCTTCTGTCTCATGTCTCTCTGTTGCTCCTTCTTTTATCCTCTCTTCCTTTCCTTCACCCTAATCTCCTCCTCCCTTCTTTCTCCTCCATTCCACCACATCACGTTCACCTCCTCATGTCTTGCTTGTCCTCCATACTTCTCCTTTTCCTCCAACTTTCACCTCGTCTTTTCTCTCTCATTACCTCCTTCCTCCATTTCACCTCCACAATTTCCTCTTATTACCTCATCTTCCTCCACTCTTTCTCACCTCCTCCTCTTTATCTCCGCTGTCTATTTCCTTCTGTCCTCCCCATTTCATCTCATCTTCTCTCTCCTGCATACTTCTCCTTTCCTTCTAGTAATTTTCATATCTCCCCTCCGTTTCCTATCCTCACCTCCCTTTTTTCCCCTCTCCTCCCTTCTTTCCTCTTCTTTTCCTCACACGAAGCAGAGATACTGTGTGAGGTGAATTTGAGTAAAAAAGAATCGCGCTCCAATTTCATAACAAGACTCTATAGCTGCAGAACTTCATTCAGAATCATCGAGTTTTGAAGTTTTTCTCAATGCAACAGTAATCCAGTGATAGTTGTCTGTAAATCCACGGCTACACTACAAACAGGAGCTGATTCAGCAATGTTTATGGATAGTTTGACTAAATGTGAACAAATATAGAAAACAACAATGTTAAAAAATACATTATAATACAATTTTCATCATCTATTCATCTATATACTTTTAACATCATCAACTTGGTTCTAAAATTCCTCTCGATTCAAATACAGAAGAGTATGTGTGGTGGTGTGGGGTGTTTTAATTTCATACGTTTTAATGACTGAAGGGTAAAAGCATTCAAGTAGTTTGGGGTATATTGGGTTCTTTTAACTGGTTTAGATGACTGGGTTAAACTGGGAATCAGACTGATTCTGATGGCTTGTGTTGATGACCAGACTGAACACTGCTGTGTCCTCAGACCAAAGCAATGAAGCTGGTGGTAAAGATGTTGTTTGGAGGCTACAGCTGTCTCCAACATGTTCTTACCAAAGAGCAACAAACTGAGGAAAGTTATTTTTCTTTTTATTTCTTATTTCCTTTTCAGGTTAATTTAGACTTTAACATTGGTTTTACCTACTTTATTCTAAAAACACAGTAAAACATGTCTCAATTTTTAATCTTGATGAAATTTGCAAAACATCCAGAGCAAAGCGAAGTTTGAATTTTGATTTTCATATTTATATTATATATTATATTATATATTTTTTTTTATTCTATTTACCTCTTTTTTTATTGATATTTTTTTAAATACTTTTTTATACCAAATTATTGTTGTATTATTTATTTATTTTAATTGTAATCCTGAAATTCAACAATGTAAAGCACTTTGTAAATGAATGTCACTTATTATTATTATTATTGTATCAGTAACATGTATACAAGATGTATTATGTTTTCTGCACTGCTTCAATGCCAGTGAGACCATGAGCGACAGTCAGCAAAAAATAAACCAAGTTTTTAAACATTGTAAATATCTAAACTAGAGGAAATAATCTCAGCATCATGGACTCTGTAGTGAAGTTATTAAAGACTCTGTGAGGCTTTCGGGTTTAGCTGATTTCTGCTGATTTTTTTATTTTCCCTTCCTGCAACAGAGCCCGTCTCCCCTCCGCCTGTTGCCATGGCAACTGCATCAGCACCCTGACTTCAAAGAGGAGGCACCGAAAGAGAATGACAGGAAGAAAAAAGAGAGAGAAGGGGAGGGCAAGAGGACGGGATCAAGATAATAGTGAGAGGAAAAGGGAGTCAGAGGAGAAAACCTGCATGTGAAAGAGGGAATAAAGCTGAATGTAAAGAGACAAAAGGGAGGACAATGGAACCAGTTTAAACAGAGAGAAAGGGAGGTAGAGAGATAAAAAAGGAGAAGCAAGGAGAGAAACAGATAGATAGAGAGAAACGGGAGCGTTCACCATCAGAGCTGAAGGAGATTTCATTCGAGCAGCTATAAAACGGTTCCTGAAGGTTTTTCTAACAGAGTGAAACCTCTGCAACCAAACTGACGGAGGAGTGATACTGACTGGAAAATGCTCTGCTCAAGTTGCTGAATTTTCCTGACTCACACTGAGAGTTTATCAATTTCACAGACTCTCTATTTGGGAAACACCTTCAGAGGTGGACACAGGTGTACCCCAGGGCTCTATAATTGGGCCTCTATTGTTTCTTATCTACATAATGGATTTACCAAATATGTCCAGCAGAGTTTCTCCAAAGCAAACCAGGCAAACCAAACAAGCAAAGCGGGCAAATGCCCAGGGGCTCCAGATGCCACAGGTTTACTTTATATCATCACATCCTGCCATCACAGGAGAACTGCTTTAATAATTCATTGATCAGTGTGTTAAATGTCTGAAAATAGTGAAAAACGCCTCATTACTCTCATTATGTCAGTGATGCTCTTGAAAATTGACTGTCGACTGTGTCTTAATTCACTGGAAAATAACAGACAGAAAACAAACTACTGACAGTCACAGTAAAAAATTACATCCCAGTTTCCCAGAATCTAAGGCGAAGTCTTCAAATATTTTGTCTGACCAACAAAAAATATTAATTTCCAAGACAATTGAAGATTTCCCCTTAGGCGCTTTGAAACTGCAGCAGGCATTTTGTGATGTTTTATAGACCAAAGAATTGATCGAGAAAATAAAGCAAAAACGGGAAAAAAAATGCAGTCAAAAGAATAGCTGATTAAAAAAAAATTATTTTCCAGTTTTACAGGTTTAAATGTTTTTTAACCTACAAATCACATCAGTGGTTACTAGAAACTTTAAGATTCTTTATTCTCTGATTTTATATTATTATCTATTATTTGACTATTTTCGAAATATTTTCTGCTTCTTCCCTACCTTACCTTTGGGCTTTATAAAGTAATTTATAACTATAATTTATAAGTAACTTACAACAGACAGACTTCTCTCTGGGTTGGGAGAAAACAGCAGTCCATACAGAGCTGAAAACTAGTTGTAAACATCTTTTAAATGTAAACAACAGTTCAATGTAAGCTCAGCTACAGATCACGAGGACACGTCATTATTTCAGTTGTGTATCTGTGCGTGGCCCCGGACGCCACAAATCAACTCAGCAGGAAATATCAGGCACTCAGAGCGTGATACCTGCGAGGTTCAGCCTGAGAGGAAAGAGGACGGCATTATTATCAACAACGACGACGACAAGCCACAGAACAATCAGAGCCTGCAGACAGCAGGGAAGGTCTGAAACATGTTCAATCTGTCACACAGCGAGAGTCTGAATCACGACCACTGAGCCTGACACAACAAACAACTCTTCTTTCTATATTATGTTGCTCCATCTGTTGGTTTTCACCCTTTATGATCTGTTGCTTTGTCACAATCAGGGCAGAGTCAAACCTCAGGATAAACAGGCCTGTAAATACGGTTTGCTGAGAGTCTGAGGAAGAAAACTGTCTGGCCAGATGTGAGGGATTTCAAAATAAAAGAAAAAAAGACAAAAGGAAAAAAATGTTTTCCTTGTCGCTGTAAGCAGTGCAGGACAGGATAGTCAGCTTAGATCTTTAACATTGGTCCGTTCACCCACTCCTCACACAACTTTGACAAACTTTACTACTGACTATAAAGCACTAAGCCTTGTGATGCAACCAGTATAAACTAGCAAAACAGTATCATGAACATGTTTGCCTTCAGAAACATCTGTAGAAATGGTGCTGTTTACTTTGAAAGTCCCAACAACCCTCATCCCTCATCTGTAGCTTCTGTTGGCCGGTCAATAAAGTCAATCAACAGTGTGACACGGACAACTTGACTTTATTTGCAGCCAATCACAGGCTTTGATACAGGCGGTTGATATTTAAGCCAACAGCATTAATGTTCGATGCTGTAAATTGTTAAAGCAGATTTCCTTACACTTTTTCTCAGATTTGTTGCCATTTAATGACAAATAAGTGTTTTTTTTTTTGTGAGACGTTATTGTACAGCAGCCGCTAGCATCATCTCTCCTCTGAAGCTGAGTGATGTGCTTTTTTGTTCAGACTCACCGGCAGGCTGGACGGTCTCTCCTGTTGGCTCAGACTCATCTCCTCGTGGTTTGGTTTACCAGGAGTCATAGCGGCAGACTGGCCCCGGCCCCCGTACGCCTCCTGCGGCACTTCCTGCGTCAACACAGACGGAGGAACAAAGTTTAGACTACAAAACACTCAAGAGCTCACACCTGTCGGATCATCTTTTTACTCTCACTGGAACCAAAACTATCTCACCTCAGTGTCCATTTAGCAGCTGCTCTGGAGCTTTCTTAAACAGCAAACTGATGCTGGCTTTTAAATCACCGTGAATGGGGAGACTTAGAGGTACTTTTAATTTTTTATTTCTGTGGAATCTTATACCTTTTACACCAAAACTAGTGGGTATAAGCGGCTTTTTTTAACAAATGTAAACCCCAATAATAAAAGCCAGTTGACCTCTTTTCCACTAACAGTTGAGTTTGCCTTTTCTGTCCAGACTGAGGATACACACAACTGCAGGGGGCGATGTCATCACATGCACTCGTAGAGCACAGACACAGTGGAGAAAGAGTGAGGTGCTAGCTGCGGAGCAAACAAGTAAAACAGATCTATCACGTCTCATCCCCGGATTGTTGCTGCTGCTATAACAGTGTCAGAGTCTGTGTGAGACACTTCAATCAGTGATTGTGTGTTTTTAAAACTTATTTCAGGGCTGCAGCTCATTCTTTCACCCCAGAGCATAGTGTAGCTGGGACATTTCTGGTTTAACAGCACTGTGCCGTTTGTGCTCTGAAAGACATTACAGCAGGAAAAAGGGCAAAAATTAGCAGGTTCACCCAGGAGCAGGGAGCCGATTGCCAACAAAAGCCCAATGTTAGCGGGTCTTAGTGGGTTTTTTGACCAGTGGAAAAGGGGCTTAAGCAAACTTAATCTGCTGTTGATGACAGTGTGATGCATTCAAAACCTCCAGAAGAGCTACTAAATGGACCTTGTGGTAAAGGCGTTGATTCCAAGGTCATGACTGAGCTTTCAAGCTGAGCTACAGCACACTGTAGTCACTGCTGAGCATATTTTTTCCCTACAGGCTTGTGCAACTTTTTGAAAAAAACAAAACAAAACACAAACAAAGACGTAAACTATGCTGCAGTTCGGTCATTTTAAAGAACAAAAAACCAGATGAAAATGATGTGAATGGAAGACAAAGCCACTGCATTTTTCAAGCAGACACCGGTCAATGTTTGAAATTATTATTTGGCAACTAAAAACATCACTCATTAGTTAAATTACAACAGAATTTCCTCTGAAGTTCTTTTCAGTTTTTTTTTATCAGATAACTGCTGCATAAGAGTTAGAAAATATGAAAAAAAAAACGGATTTGAGAATCATTGACAGAGAATATCTAAACAGTAGCATGAATGCGGGTTGACACATGGCGCCACATCATTATACGCCATTGCCCTGCGAACACTTGTAAGCTCTGTGGAAAGACGGCTATTTATTCCTCACATCAGTGCATCCTCACTACACCTTCTGTCTGTACAGGGTGTCCACTGTGTGCTATAGGTCACATGTGGTGTCTCTCATATTACTGGTTGTTGAGTTTGTAATTACTGCGGTGTATCCGTTACAATACACAAGACACTTTGGAGTTTCCTGCAGCTTTACTAGGAGACTGTGCAGGTTTACACTCTGTGTTTATGTGGTTTCTAGAATAAAACAGTAACAGAAACACAACTAAAGTTAACAATACCAACAACACAAATTCAATTAGCTACACTGAGAGTCCCACAAACCTCTTCTGTCAATACAACATCATACCAACAGAATTAAACTCAAAGGACAATAAAGTGAACAAACAAATGAACCTAGAAAGAAAAGCAACAACCCAACAACCAAACTAAACAAGTCAATAAGGCAATTAACTAATCAAAGGAGCTTATTGGCTCCTGACATGCTCATATAAACACTGCACCTGAAATCTATGTGAACTGCAAGTCTTCCTAACACACAGTAGCTGTGTCCCAATTCAGGAGCTTCATCCTTCTGAAGCTGCATTTGAAGACCGATTGCATCACAGCAGCGACTATAGACTGTCCCATTTTGAAAACTCCTTCAAATGCGTCAGAGAAATGCGTCCTTCTTTTTCTGCGCAACATAGGCGCCAACGGGTGGATCCTTTGTGGCCCAACCTATCCCAAGATTCATTGGAAGTTGGTAACAGAGAGCCCAAGGATTACACTTTTAAATCTAAGTATTGGGTTTCAGCTCTGTTGAACAACTAATGGTACAAATGTTAAAAACAAGGGCCTTAACACCTCAAGGTTTTGGTATAAAAAAAGTTACGTGTTGTCAAGGTTGCTAGGCGACAGGTAAGGGCAAAACATTCTCCGTGGACCCAGACCGTCTCAATTCAGTTCGGCCTTCGTGGTCTATGACAGCTACCAAAGGCCCCCGCATTGGGACGCAGCTAATGGCTATACCTCGTACTCCAGCAGGGGGGGAGTTTGTAAAATAAAGGAAACAGGAAACCAGAACAGAAGAACATGACACCAAATGAATCAATGCCACAGACAGAAAAATCGTGCATAATAAACTCAGTCTGTTCGTTGAATGTGTAAAATGTAACTGAAGTCGGACATTAGCTTTAGTGATGTCCCGTTAATAATGAGTGACTGCTGACAGACAGATTGATCTGATTCTTATATCCACATCAATGTTGATTAAATCTGACACACTGAATCTAACACCTTATTTTTCACAAGCTGCTTGATCCAGATACTAGAGGACCTGATTCAAAACTATGACGCTGACCTGATTAAATTATTGATCTCATATAAATGAAAGTTTAACTGGGAGAATGTGACTCCTGAAATCATCGATCCTCTTGAGAGAAGACGTCTCACTCTGCTGGACATATTGAAACTACAGAAACAGTCTCTGGAGCTTTTTTTTTTTTTTTTATCTCAGACAATCTTTGGCTGAGTACACTGACTGGTTTTATTCTGTTCTGTCATTGAGTTACTTACAGAGTTAACATTAAGCAACAGCTGCTACCTGAATGTTTTCTACATTCAGCTTTGACAACACAGTAGGAGCGGTAACTGATTCAAATCTGTATTTTGAAAACACTCATACAAACTCATTTTCGCTCGCAGTGTGAAGCCCGGCTGCAGTAAATGACGACAGTGCTGCAACACTAGCAGATGAAAACACAGTAAAGAAAGGGTTATTGTTGTATTTTGATCAACTTTATTCTAGCTGATGCTGCTCCAGTAAAATACGCCCAGATCAGCCCAGGAGTTAGCTCATTAACCACTGCAGCATCAGAGCCACACCGAATGAAAAAACAGTGTAGTTTAGGCTAAATGGTTGTTACTCAAGTTATAAGAAATTATTAACATATTCTTATTTGTTCAAATTGTGCTACAGGCTTCAGGTGACCTGATGTGATCCAAAGCGTCTGTTGTGTGTTACCTTTAACTGTCTGTGAAGGTGAAATCAACGAGAAACTCTGTGTGGGTCTGAAGCCTTCACACCAGGAGCACCTTTCTTTTCTTTCCCATCGCTCTCTCGCAGAGTTAATTAAGGCTGTCAGAGCAGGGGTATCTCAGGGGAAATCCTGCTTTATATTACTGTGATTGGACTTCCTTCAATGTTCCTCACACACACAGGCACCTGACAGTTTCACCTGCATATTGATTATATAAAGCCGACACTGTCCCTTAGGTGTGTTTTTGGTCTGTGCCGGACGCCGGTCTTCACTCAACCTTGACAAGTTCTACATTGTTTTAAAGCTCCAAGTCTCCTGATTCTATCTGTGCAAAGCATTTCAGGATCTTCACAACCCTGCAGCAGCTCCTTACTGTTTCGGCTTGTGAGGGACGACACCTCACCATTTTCACCACAAGCTTCCCTTCAAAAAAATACACCCAAGCTTTAGTCCATAACAAACCTGTTGTCATGAAAAAAGTCTAGAAACCTGAGCAGTTTCATTTGCAATTGCCTGATTGATTGAGACCAGGTTTAAGACTGGTAAACAGGTAAAACAGGTAAAACAACAGTAAACAATAACCTTTTTATTTTGGGTCTATTCTTTTCAAGCTTCAAGGCTGTGATTTGACTTAATCTGATGACTGTGAGTTCTAAGTTAAGTTACGTTACGTGTGAAGAATATGATTTGTAGGCCGGGGCGTCTCTGTAGCTGTTTAACTCCATCAACCAGCCAGTTAATTTTCTCTGAGATTGTTTGACTGATCCGATATATTTGTCTGTCTGATTTGTGATCTTCAAACGAACACACACACTGAGGACAGACAGCTACCGTGAAGGGTCCTGGCCCGACCATCAGGGCTGAAGGACACTTCATTATATGGAGTCGGGGATTGACGACCTGCTCTGCCCTCTGAGCCACAGCTGCCCCCACAGTGGTTTATTATTTTCATTCTTCTAGTGGTGTGAAGGACTCAAGCAGTTCAAGTCCAATTCAGAATCAATTTGCTACTCGATATTTCCCATTGTGTCCTTTACTCATCTGAGGTTTTATTTCTTATTTCTGTTTTCATACACGACCATATTTTAATGAGAGTCTCTTTCCTCATTCCTCTTTTTCTGCCTCTTTCACATTAAAAGCCTTCAAGCAATTCAGGGAGCAATCTAGAGCTGCAACAATTAGTTAATTAATCGATAAGTTGATCGGAATAAAATTCATCGTGAATGATTTTGCTAATTGATTTATTGTTTCAGTCACTTTTGAAGCACAGAGTATCAAACGTTTGCTGGATTTGATGTCATTTTGTCATATGGCAGTTTGTGAAAAGATGTTTGAGTTTCGGACTGATGGACAGATAAATGAAGTGACATGAAGATGCCGACTCGGGTTGTGGGACGTTTGCAGTGTGGACTTTTTGTGGGAATGTTCTCAGTTGTCACTTATCACTGGTTTATTCCTTATACTGTCTAAAACATTAGAAAATCCACCTTAAAACAAAGAGTATTTTTCCTGTGGCCATGGAGTTTTTCACTAGTTTGTGACATTTCATAGACTGAATCAAGAAAATAATAATCGATTCAATGACAAGGACTGACAAGGATAAATAATTGTTACTTGCAGCTCTTGAGCATTCCCTTCCTTTCCCTTGAAGGCTTTTATT